GTTCTGTGCATGATGGTATGTTCACCAGCACCCCTGACCTCTACCCATTAAAAACAAAAAACATCCCTTCCCAGGAGTTGTGACAACCAAAAATGTCTCCAGATACTGCTAAATATTTCCTGGAAGACAAACACCCCTCTGGCTGAGAACCACTGTTCTAGAAAAATTTGTAGGTAAAATAGCCTGAAATCTCCAAAAAGCTGCTTGGATCTCCATGCCACTATACCCTGAGAATGGGATGGGGTACAGCCAGAAAGCCAAGATCTGAAAGAGCAGTGTCTTCAGGGGCCAGGAAAGTAATATGAGTGAGCAAAGGCAAGATAAGTCTGGGTATAAAACAAGAAGTGGAGGATTGTAGTGGATTAGGGAGTCTATACTCCATTTAAAAGGAGCCACAGCCCACCACAGTGGCTCACACCTGTAATCCCAACACATGGGGAGGCTGAGGCAGGAGGATCACTTGAGCCAGGAGTTTGAGACCAGCCTGGGCAATATAGGGAGACTCTTTTTAAATAAAAAAATAGATGTGAAAAGAAGCTACGACTACTCAAACCCAGCTCATTGTATCAGGCAAGAATTTGAGTCCAACGATACCAGAACATTAGATTTTTCAAGAGAAAAGCCAAGTCCTGATTTTCAAATGTTGGCCTCTAAATCAAAATTATTTATACCACCACAAACCAAACCAACCTATCTGTGGGCCAAGTCTGGCTCACAGGCTACTAGCTTCCAGACTCTGCCCTCGAGTTGGTTATATAGAGACTCCTCGGCCCTCCCTTCTAGGATGGAACTTTAATTGCCTAGAATGGCTATAACTTGTTTAGGCAGTCTCCCAACCAACAAGCTGGACCCTCTCAGGCCTCAATTTCAAGACTAACTTAATTCTCCAATCCTACCAAAGTCTTACCCTAGATTCAGTGCAGACCTTTGATTTTTCCCCCATTTGGTTTCTTGCAATTTATGTCTCCTGAAACCACATTTCTCCCACTGCCACCTCTACTCAAAGAGACTCTCTCAGCATATCCTAGCTCTGCTGAAAGCCTGCAACCCAGTTCTTAGAACTGCAACCCAAGTTCTAAGAAGGGAAGTAAGCTGAACCCTAAAGCCTACCCTAGTCGGAAGAGAATATGGTTTCATGATTTGGCCATAACTATAACAAGCAAGTTCTTGCCCTCAGGTCTGGATTCTGGAAAAGCCAGTGTTTCTGGGATAGAAAGCCTTCAAGAATTCAGATCCCCAGGAATCTGGGTCAAAGTACATGTTGAATGAAAGAGGCTGGCCAAGCATGATGGTTCACACCCATAATCCCAGCACTTTTGGAGGCTGAGGTGGGCAGATCACTTGGGCTCAGGAGTTCGAGACCAGTGTGGTCAACATGGTGAAACCTCGCCTCTACTGAAAACACAAAAATTAGCCAGGCATGGTAGCTCGCACCTTTAATCCCAGCTACTTGGGAGGCTGAGGCAGAAGAATCACTTGAACCCAGGAGGCGGAGATTGCAGTGAGCCAAGATCATGCCACTGCACTCCAGTCTGGGCGACAGAGCGAGAGTCCATCCCCCCACCAAAAAAGAAAATGAAATCCAGTCTACCATGGAGGCCCACAATCCTAACCACTATATTATACTGTCTGGAAATTACTTATATATCTTCAAACCATGTTTTCTAACAGTATTTGATGAAAGATTAAATATTAAATTTTTTTTCGAGACAAGGTCTCATTCTGTCACCCAGGCTGTAGTGCAGTGGCATAATCATAACTCACTGCAACCTTGAATTTCTGGCTTCAAGGGATCCTACCTCCTCAGCCTCCTGAGTAGCTGGAATCACAGATGCACACCACTGCCACTGTCACCAGGCCTGGCTAATTATTTTTTTTTCTTAGAGGTGGGGTCTTGCTTTGTTGCCCAGGCTAGTCTCAAACTCCTGTGCTGAAGGGATCCTCCCTCAGCTACCATGGACAGCCAATATTAATATTTTTTAATTTTAAAAAGTGGTATACAGCCCACAAAATAAGATGACCTCAAAAGGTATTTATTAAAAATAATAGATATAGGGCCGGGCATGGTGGCTCAAGCCTGTAATCCCAGCACTTTGGGAGGCCGAGGCGGGTGGATCACGAGGTCAACAGATCAAGACCATCCTGGTCAACATGGTGAAACCCCGTCTCTACCAAAAATACAAAAAATTAGCTGGGCATGGTGGTTCATGCCTGTAATCCCAGCTACTCAGGAGGCTGAGGCAGGAGAGTTGCCTAAACCCAGGAGGTGGAGGTTGCAGTGAGCCAAGATCGCACCATCGCACTCCAGCCTGGGTTTAGGCAACTCTAAACCCACCCAACTCTTTTTAGAGCGAAACTCCGTCTCAAAAAAAAAAAAAAATAATAATAATAATAATAATAGATATGTACACAAAAAATACTAGAAAGTATTTCACCCAAATAGTAACAATAGTACTGTACAAGGTAAACTCATGGGTGATTTTAAATTTTCTTTCTTCTTTCTGTATTTTTAAAATTATCTGTAAAATCCATGTGTTACCCTTCAATTAAAAACACTAGGCTGGGCGTGGTGGCTTACACCTGTAAACTCAGCACTTTGGGAGGCTGAGGTGGGTGGATCACCTGAGGTATGGAGTTCAAGACCAGCCTGACCAAAATTGTGAAACCCCATCTCTACTAAAAATACAAAAACATAGCTGGGCGTGGTGGCGGGTGCCTATAATCCCAGATACTGGGGAGGCTGAGGCAGGAGAATCCCCTGAACCCAGAAGGCTGACGTTGCAGTGAGCCAAGGTTGCGCCATTGAGCTCCAGCCTGGGCAACAAGAGCAAAACTCTTGCCTCAAAAAAAATAAATAAAATAAATAAATAAATAAATAATAAAAAATTTAAAAAAAAATTAGGCCAGGTGTAGTGGCTCATGCCTGTAATCCCAGCACTTTGGGAGGCAGAGGCAGGCAGATCATCTGAGGTCGGGAGTTCACGACTAGCCTGGCTAACATGGTGAAACCTCAGTTCTACTAAAAATACAAAAACAGCAAGGCATGGTGGCGTGTGCCTGTAATTCCAGCTACTCGGGAGGCTGAGGCAGGAGAATTGCTCCATCTCGCGGGTGGAGGTTGTATGGTGCCAAGTCTACAAAAGAAAGAAAGACACTATCAAACTATTAAAAGTACTCTTCTCTTGGTGGTAGATTTTGGATGACTTAAGAGTAATTTAGGCCGGGCGCGGTGGCTCATGCCTGTAATCCCAGCACTTTGGGAGGCCGAGGTGGGTGGATCACGAGGTCAAGAGATCGAGACCATCCTGGTCAACATGGTGGAAGCCCGTCTCTACTAAAAATACAAAAAATTAGCTGGGCACGGTGGCGTGTGCCTGTAATCACAGCTACTCAGGAGGCTGAGGCGGGAGAATTGCGTGGACCCAGGAGGCGGAGGTTGCGGTGAGCCAAGATCACACCATTGCACTCCAGCCTGGGTAACAAGAGCGAAACTCCGTCTCAAAAAAAAAAAGAGTAATTTAATTTTCTCAATATACATGCTTTGTGGGTTGTTTTGTTTTGTTTTGTTTGGAGGCAGGGTCTTACTCTGTTACCCAGGCTGGAGTCCAGTGGCATGAACACAGCTCATGGCAGCCTCAATCTCCCAGGCTCAAGAGATCCTCCCATCTTAGCCTCCTGAGTAGCTGGGACCACAGGCACACACCAACATGCCTGACTAACTTGTTTTGTAGAGACAGGGTCTCACCATGTTGCCCAGATCGGTCTTGAATTCCTGATCTCAAGCAATCATCCCACCTCAGCCTCCCAAAGTGCTGGTATTACAGGCATGAGCTACCATGTGTGGCCTAATAGACATATTTTATAATGAGAAAATTATTACCTTTTTTAGAAAGCTCAGTCAGACCAGTCTGCCTAGCCAAAGCCTATCAGACATATAGCTAAGTACCCTCCTTCCCTTATCCCAAGGGTATCTGTTTCCCCCTTACTATCCAAAGGAACATGGGGGGGTTTTCCCTTTAATTTGTCATTAACAAATTCCATAAAGTCAAGAGGCATGGGCATTCTACAGTCCGTTATTGCTAACTCCAAGTACTCTGAGGCTATTTTTAACGCTGGATAAACTACATATACTGCCAAAGCTTTTGCAAGCAGAGATGTGGAAAGAACAGAATATTATTAAGTGCCTCTGGCAATACAGTGCTAAGAAACATAGAATTCTGAATTCTGGGCCTTTCTCTTTTAAAGCATTAGTTCTGCAAGGCTCGGTAAATTCACAACAATCTTTTCTTCTTACTTCCCAGTAAGAAGAAAAGGAAAATAAAGAGGGATTGACTGGGATCTCTCAGGTTCTATCTGCAGAAACTCAAATGTGGCTGCAGGCAGAGCTTGTTTACACAGTCAGCGTAAAGAAGGCTGATACACTAGGAGGAAAAGTGTCACTCCTGCTGCTCAGAACAAGCCACAAAGAGCAGCAGTGGCAGACAGAAAAGGGTCCTGTGGACATGAGGTTTAACACCATAGGACCCCCACGGTCTAGAGAAGCCTATTTTCTCACTGATGCTTTTAACTAGTTCAAGATAAAAATCTGGGAAATAAAATAACTCTTTTTTTTTCCTTTAGGAACAGAATAAAGGCTTCAACACTGATTGGGGTTTTTTCTGGGCTAACTTACATCTAGCGATGTTGACTTCAATCAAAACAGCTGTCAAGACAAATAAAAGACATGCCCCAACCTGTCACACAGACCAAAAAACAGAACAAGGGCAGCCAAGAGAGGAGGAACATGAGGCACCAAAAGTCAAGAACAGATTCAAACTTCTCCTATCCTCATCCTTGATGCTTACTATCTCTCAGGACCAAATGACTGGTAAAATTACTTCCTCAAAAGGTAAGAAGGCTCCCTCCCCTCCAAAATGCAAAATATGCTATTGAAATATAAAGTATCATTATTAGTAGTACCCCCCACCCCCAGCATCCTCCCAATCTCAGCCCCTACTTACATATGCAAGCAGCAGCGAGGAGACGGCAGGCCAGGTATGGGGGATCACAGGTGGGGAAGGACGGCTGGACGATGTAGTTGGCGAAGGTGATGGCGATGATGGCCTGAGCGGTGGGCTCAACAACTAGCAGTGAAACCCACAGGCGGATGAAGGCAATGAAGCCCCCAAAGGCCTCTAGAATATAAGCGTAGCTGGCTCCCGACTTGGTGATGGTGGTCCCCAGCTCTGCATAACAAAGGGCACCCACAACAGAGAAGAGCCCACCAATGGTCCACACAATCAGTGACATCCCATAGGAGGCACTGTATACCAGCACACCCTTGGGTGAGACAAAGATCCCTGAGCCGATCATGTTGCCCACCACCAGGCTAACCCCATTCAGCAGGGAGATCTCCTTCTTCAGCTGCATAGTTTCCGAGGACCTTTGAGGTGGCAAGCTGACATCTTCTTCCACCTGGGATTGGCTGGTGTTAGGGACAAGATGGTAGGTGGGTGTGGGCCTCCCAGGCTCCCTGGCTTCCATGACAAATGGCTCCTGCACACCTGTATTTACTGTAGCCTGGCAAAGAATACAAGTATGTCAGTCTAGGGCAGGAGCTGGTTTAGACCAGATTTCCCTGCCCACTTCCTGTTTAGGGACAGCATGCCATGCACACAGCCCTAACTACAATAGGATTTCTCAGTTCCCACTACAAGACACAGGGAAATAGAGCTGTGTAGACCTTCACTGCTCTCACGAAAGACACCATGAGAGCTCACACATGATGTGATGATGACTTCCAATGACAAATACCTGTCTTGCAGCACAGAGTAGGCTGGTATTAAATTTGTCCATCCCTGGATTCTCCCTGAGTTGTAGACTTCTGCTCTGTTCTCACCAGCTTAAAACCCACAAACCAGGACAGGGAGGGGGTAAAAATAAAAATAAAGATAAATAAATAGATAATAATAATAATTGGCTGGGTGCGGTGGCTCACACCTATAATCCCAGCACTTTAGGAGGCTGAGGCAGGTGGATCATGAGGTCAAGAGATTGAGACCATCCTGGTCAACAAGGTGAAACCCCGTCTCTACTAAAAATACAAAAATTAGCTGGGCATGGTGGTGCGCGCCTGTAGTCCCAGCTACTCGGGAGGCTGAGGCAGGAGAATTGCTTGAACCCAGAAGGCGGAGGTTGCGGTGAGCTGAGATCGTGCCATCGCACTCCAGTCTGGGTAACAACAGCGAAATTCCGTCTTAAAAAAATAATAATAATAATAATAATAATTAAAAACCCACAAACCTTCCCTGCAAAGAAGACCAGAGTCCCTGCACCTGGCACACAGTCCTCACCAGCCTGAAAGGCCTCTACTGTCCATACCCAGGTAATCCTGCCCACTCACCTCTACCCAAATATAAGCTGGAACTTCTGCAATGTCCAGCAAGACATGAAGATGTCTGCAGCTATTCTCAGGCCAGTAAAGAATATGAGCAGGTGGTGGGAAGGGGGAGGAAGATGCTAAGACAAGGGCATATCACCACTGCAGTGACTAGACCGGGGGAGGTCCCTCATGAAAATACACACCTGGCTGGGCATGGTGGCTTACACCTGTAATCCCAGCACTTTGGGAGGCTGAGGCGGGCAGATCACGAGGTCAGGAAATGGAGACTATACTGACAAACATGGTGAAACCCCATCTCTACTAAAAACACAAAAATTAGTTGGGCATGGTGGTGGGCACCTGTAATCCAAGCTACTCAAGACGCTGAAGCAGGAGAATCACTTGAACCCAGGAGGCGAAGGCTGCAGTGAGCCAAGATCATGCCACTGCACTCCAGCCTGGCAACAGAGACTCTGTCTCAAAAAAAAGTACAGGCCTGTATATTGTTGTGTCTGCAATGCCTACCTTACTCTCCCACATTGCTGCTTGCTCATTCAACATCTTTCTTTTCCCAAAGTACCCAGAAGAGAGGGGTTACATGATAAAACAAGGTGGAGAAAGGACATCCGGGGCATCCTAACCCAGGGCTAATTTGCCACTGGCATATTTGCTTTCTTCCCCAGCATGCCCTTCATGTTGGATTCCACATTAACATACCTACGAAGGACCCAGAATCTATCAAAGGAAAATAAGCACCTTCCTGACCCTGCACCCAGCATGACCTTCTCCTCCCTCAACTCCTGTGACAGTCATGCTTCAGATCCCTTGATCCCATCTCATCTTCAGAAGAAATCTGGTGGGCCATCTGATTCCCACCCAGGAGACAGTCCTTTAAGGTCACAGAGATAACTTCCAATTATCAGCAAGCACATCATCATTCCAGAGGCCTCTTATTTATTCAACAAATGTGTGTGTGCCTGAACCTGGCCTCATGTAGCTCAGAGAAAGGAAACACAGCCAGTCAAGAGTGAGTAGTTAGGGAGAATGCTGATCTCCACAGGCCCCACCCAAAACTCCTGTCTTCCCTGTCCCAAACCCCTTCAAGTCTAGACCTGAGCCCAAGTAAAAAAGCTTCTCCCAGACAGTAGTCAAGCCTTCCCCCAGTCCCAGGAGTGGAGGCAGCCTACCTCTGCTTCGATGAGGCTGAGCTTTAAGGCAGCACCAGTTTTGCTCTCACTCTGGCACCAAGCCATGCAGGTTTCCCTGCAGAGGCATGTGGAAACGTATTTGTTTTCATGTGCCTGTCAGGTGAGCCCAGGCATCCACTAGTACAAAACCAGTACAGCTGGGGAGCCAAACGTCTCACATCAGAGTCAGATGCAAAGACACCTAGGATGGCTTTTCTACCCAACTTAACACGGAGACAAGCAGAGAAATCTGACCCCAGTGACCAATCCAGCTTCCCCCATTCCATCACACTCTAGCTCGGAGGAGGGGTTGCGGTTACCAGGTACTCCTTTCGTATTCATAAAACCTGGCACTGGTGTCGCTGATATGGCTTTATTAGGTTTGTCTGACACACTGGTGAAACTACCCAGTGGCCTTATTTGGAGAGGTGGGGCAGTCACAGCCCCCCAAGACCTCATGCCTAGGATTTCAGTCACAGCAACTGAATGAAAGACAAGGTTCCTGCTGGAAGGTTAAGGACTCCTTCAGCAAGAGAGAGTAGCAGAATCATAAACAACTGAAGGCAGATAAGTCTTCTTTCTCGCTCACTCTCTCTCTCTCTTTTTTTTATTCAAGAGACAGGCTCTCACTTTGTCACCCAGGTTGGAGTCCAATGGTGCAATCATAGCTCACTGCAGCCTCCAACTCCTAGGCTTAAACAGCCCTCCTACCTCAGCCTCCTGAGTAGCTAGGACTATGGGTGCTCACCACCATACTCAACTATTTTTTTTAAATCTGCTTTTAGAGACAGTGTTTCACTATGTTGCCCAGGCTGGTTTTCAACTCTTAACCTCAACTGATCCTCCTGCCAGATGCAGTGGCTCATGCCTGTAATCCCAGCACTTTGGGATGCCAAGGAGGGCAGATCATGAAGTCAAGAGGTCGAGACTATCCTGACCAACATGGTGAAACCGCATCTCTACTAAAAATACAAAAAAAATAGCTGGGCATGGTGGCACGCGCCTGTAATCCCAGCTACTCAGGAGTCTGAGGCACAAGAATCGTTTGAACACAGGAGGTGGAGGTTGCAGTGAGCTGAGATCACGCCACTGCACTCCAGCCTGGTGACAGAGCGAGACTCCATTTCCAAAAAAAAAAAGGGCAAGCGTGACGGCTTACGCCGGTAATCCCAACACTTTGGGAGGCCGAGGCGGGCGGGTCACCTGAGGTCAGGAGTTCAAGACCAGCTCGGCCAACATGGTGAAACCCCATCTCTACTAAAAATACAAAAATTAGCTGGGCATGGTGGCGTGTGCCTGTAATCCCAGCTACTTGGGATTCTGAGGCAGGAGAATCGCTTGAAACCAGGAGGCGGAAGTTGCAGTGAGCTGAGATTGTGCCACTGTACTCCAGCCTGGGTGACAGAGCAAGACTCTGTTTAAAAAACAAAAAATGCAATTGTTATCAAGAGCCTGTCCTTGGCTAGAGTAATTAAAGTTCCTACCTCTTTGCCAAACACCCATGAGCAAAACTGTGATGTAACCCTAGCAGCTCCCAAAGGCACATGACTAAGCCTCAGGCTGGCTTGGACACACCTACAACCCTAGGGCCATCCTTTACCTCCTCTCCACATCTAAACTTCACCTTGGCTGGGCACAGTGGTGCACACCTGTAATCCCAGCACTTTAGGAGGCCAAGGCATGTGGATCACTTGAGCCCAGGAGACCAGCCTGGGCAATGGTGAAACCCTGTCTATACCAACAAACTATAAAAGTTAGCTGGGCATGGTGGCACACACTTGTAGTCTTAGTTACTCGGGAGGCTGAAGTGGAAGGATCACCTGAGCTCACGAGGGTTAAGGCTGCAGTGAGCCATGATCACACCACTGCACTCCAGCCTGGGTGACAGAAGGAGACCCTGTCTCAAAAAACAAACAACAAAAAATACAAACAAAATAAGGCCAGGCATGATGGCTCACACCTATAATCCCAGTACTTTGGGAGACCAAGGCAGGAAGATCGCTTGAAGCCAGGAAGGAGTTCAAGAGTAGTCTGGGCAACATAGGGACACTCTGTCTCTACAAAAAATGAAATAAGAAAAAATTAAGCCAGGCACAGTAGTCCATACCTGTAAACCAGCACTTTGAGAGGCCGAGGCAAGAGGATTGCTTGAGCCCAAGAGTTCAAGACCAGCCTGGACAACACAGAAAGACCCCATCTCTACAAAAAATATAAAAATTAGCCAGGTGTGGTGGCACATGCCAGCTACTTGGGAGGCCAAGGTGGGAGCATCTCTTGAGCCAAGGAGGTCAGGGCTGTGGTGAGCAATTATCATGCCACTGCATTCCAGCCTGGGCAACAGAGAAAGACCCTGTCTCCCCACACAAAAAAAAGCCAGTATGAAATGGTAAGTCCGTCTGGGCATGGTGGCTCACGCCTGTAATCCTAGCACTTTGGGCGGCCAAGGTGGGAGGATCACCTGAGGTCAGGAGTTCAAGACCAGCCTGGCCAACATGAAACCCCATCTCTACTAAAAATAAAAATTAGCTGGGTGTGGTGGCACGTGCCTGTAATCCCAGCTACTTGGGAGGCTGAGGCAGGAGAATCACTTGAACCTGAGAGAAAGAGGTTGCAGTGAGTCAAGATCATACCATTGCATTCCAGCCTGGGAGACAGAGCAAGACTCCATCTCAAAAAAAAAAAAAGTAGCTAAGTCCTCAACTTCTAGCTTCCACCCAAGGATGGATAGCATCATTCCCACTCCAGTGGCAAACAACAATTTTTCTTTGAGCCATCAGAAAGCTGAGGTTACAGGGTAACAAACTAGACTGAAACTGATGGAAAGACAGCCACCTCCAAGGAGAAAAAGATATAAGGTCTGGCTCACCTGTGGTAGTGGGAGAGATGAGACCACCATTTAGGTGAATCAGAAGAATTCAGGTAAATTTTTAACAAATTACCAAATGTCATGTGTGGGTTAGTAAGAGCCACAGACACTCAGGTTTTTTCTACAGACCTCAATGGGTACACAAAAGAAATACTGGGCAGGTAACCTGAGAAAACTGCACTTGGTAGTGCTGGTTTATGGGAGGAAAAACACCAAGGCCAACCTATACCCTTCTCCTCTAGAGAATAAAAGCCATAAACCCCTGGGAAAAGACAGCAAACTCTGTCACTCCTAAGGCAGCTGGGGCAGGATAAAAGGAAAAAACAAACCTCTATGCCTGGAGGAAGAGTAGGAAATTCTGGACAAGACCACTAAAGGGGTGTTACTTCTGGGAAAAGACCCAGAAAGATCCACTCCCAAGACCCAAGGAAACAGACAGGGCCTCCCTAAGACAGTGAATCAGGACAACAGAGAAACCTCTGCTCCCTACCACCAGGTTAGCAAGCACCCAGGGACAAACAACAGCAGTCCCCCATTGAGACTGTGACTGAGGCATAGGTGCACAGACAAATCCTAAATCTGAGTGAGAGTGGCTGGATGCAGTGGCTCACACCTGTACTCTCAGCTACTCTGGGGGCTAAGGCTGGAGGAACACTTGAGGATCACTTGAGGCCAAGAATTTGAGACAGCCTGGGCAACATAGAAAGACCGTATCTCTAAAGAAAAAAATTAAAAAGTAGCCAGACATGATGGCACACGCTTGTAGCCCCAGCTATTTATTCAGAAGGCTGAGGGGGAAGATTTAGCTCAGGAGTTGGAGGCTGCAGTGAACCATGATGGCACCACCGGCACTCCAGCTTGGGTGATAGAGCGAGATGACCCAGTGAGATCCTTTTCCTTTGTTTTTTTGTTTTTTTTTTAATCACCCAGGCTGGAGTGCAGTGTGTGATCTCGGCTCACTGTAACCTCTGCCTCCAGGGTTTGAGTGATTCTCCTGCCTCAGCCTCCTGAGTAACTGAGACTACAGGCATGCACTACCACGTCTGGGTTATTCTTTTATATTTTTAGTAGACATGGGGTTTCACCATGACTGGTCTCCAACTCCTGGCCTCAGGTGATCCACCCACCTCGGCCTTCCAAAGTGCTGAGATTACAGAAGTGAGCCACCTCATCTGGCCCCAAGTGAGACCTTTTCTCTAAAAAAAAAAATTAATAGATGGGGGGAGGGGGAAAAGAGAAAAATAAATAAATAAATAAACAAACAAACAAAGCTGACGGTATGGATGCAGGATAACCACTGAGAAAAAGCCTCCCTCCAGCAAACCAACTGTAATCTGGCAAGAAAACAAGAGGAATTTGAAGCCACTGGTGCACCTAACATAACCACAGCAACAATAAAACCCAAACACAACTGTCTCCTGACTGGGAGTTCAAACTCCCATGCAAACTGTCTAGCAACAGAAGAGCTGTAACTTCTTCCCAAAATAAATACTACATACCTCAGTTTCTACTGCTCCACATACTGTATCGGCAGTCAGTAACAAGATACAAACAACATTTAGAAAGCAAGAAAAACAACACACTATCAAGAGACAAAGTAATCAACAGGGCCACACTTAGAGATGACCCAGATAATGGAAACATCAAACAAGGAATTTTTTTTTTTAAGAGATGGGGTTTCACCATGTTAGGCAGGATGGTCTTGATCTCCTGATCCCATGATCCGCCCGCCTCGGCCTCCCAAAGTGCTGGGATTACAGGCATATGCCACCGTGCAGGGCCAAATCATTGTGTTTCATTAAAGGCTCTAATGAAAACGTTGAACAGCATGTGGAAACAAATGTGGAATTCAGCAGTGAGATAAAAACCAAAAGACTCAAAATGGAAAAAGTGAAAAAATAGAACAAAACATTGAACAGCTGTGGGCAATAACACATAGACTAGGTAACTATTTCTTAAATACATTTTTGCTCTCTTTTAATATATTTTTAGAATATAACTGACTACCCAAAGGAAAAATAGTAGCAATGTATTATGGGATTATAAAATATTTAAAAGTAAAAATGTCAAGCCGGACACAGTGGCTCACACCTATGATCCCAGCACTTTCAGAGGCTGAGGCAGGGGGAATCACTTGAGCCCAGGAGTTTGAGACCAGCCTGGGCAACATGCCAAGAGCCTGTCTCTACAAAAAATACAAAAATTTGGCATGGAGAAGAGCACCTGTAATCCCAGCTACTTAGTTGGCTAAGGCAGGATGATCCCTTGAACCCAAGAGGCAGGGGTTGCAGTGAGCTGAGACTGCACCACTGCACTCCAGCCTGGGCACTTGAGTGAGACTAGGTCACGAAAAATACAAGTAAAACATCTGGACAGTCGCAGTGGGAGGCCAGGATGGGAGAGAGGAACACTTGAGGCCAGGAGTTCAAGACGAGCGTGGGCAACTTTTCTGTCTCTACAAAATGAAGAAAAGGATGGATGGATGGATGGATGGACGGATGGATGGATGGATGGATGGGAGCGTGGGAGGGTGGGAAGAAAGAGAACTGCCTATATTAACATCAGATATTTTCTGTCACAGTACTTATTCTTCAGGTAACAATTGATAAAGGAGAATAAATAATGGCAAAAAGCTGCTAAGACTTGGTTTTGAAAGAATTTGCATTTAATTAATGACAACAGTAGCTACATACATTCCGAAAACAGTTCATACCTGTGTGAGACACGTCTATGCTGTCCTCAGAGTAGATATGCAGACCCTCTGCAACAATGGAATGAAAATCGCTGATTCAAGAAGCCAATAATTAAGACATTACCTCCAGCTAAGCATTATGAGAGGGTCATCAAAATTCTACCAGATCACCCTTTTGAATTGGCTATCCTTTTCCCTAAATTTTTATCCAATTGATAAGAGAAACTGGTATTTACAATTAGTTACAGGTGCAATGAAAAAACAAGACAGAGTGAAATTGCCATGTGAGGATCACACACAATATCAATCTCTCTCAGCCTAGGTAACATGCCAAAACTCAGTCTCTACAGAAAAATCCAAAACATCAGTCTGGGTGCAGTGGCTCAAGCCTGTAATCCCAGCACTTTGGAAGGCCGATGTAAAACGATGGCTTGAGGCCAGGAGTTTAAGACCAACCTGGGCAACATGACAAAAACAAAAATTTTTTTTTAATTTAAAAAACTTCCAGCCAGGCACAGTGGTTCATGCCTGTAATCCCAGCACTTTGGGAGGCCGAGGAAGGCGGATCACCTGAGGTCAGGAATTCAAGACCAGCCTGACCAACATGGTGAAACCCTGTCTCTACTAAAAATATAAAAATTAGCCAGGCATGGCAGCAGGCACCTGTAATCCCAGCTACTTGGAAGGCTGAGGCAAGAGAATCACTTGAACCCCAGAGGTAGAGGTTGCAGTGAGCCAAGGTCACACCATTGCACTCCAGCCTGGGAGACAAGACAAGATTTTTGTCTCAAAAAAAAAAAAATTCCTGCAGTCTCCAGCACCAGATAATAAAGGAATTGAACAGACCACTAAAATTTCCCCATGAAAATTTAACCAGGAAACTGCCACAAGAAATTTTGGAATAAATGAATTTATCACAATTCCATTACATCAGAAAACAATGAGATGAATGGAGGAAAAAGTTCAATTACAAAGGAAGTTTTACAAACTAGATTTAAAATCAAAAATTCTGTAATGACGAGAGGAAAAAATGCTATTGAGACTGTTTAGAAAAACTCAAAACCGTTTTTACTGTGTACTCTCGAATGCTAACAATCAACACAGAAGAGTTCTGTGACCAAATTCAGGAGTGGGGGGGTTCCCCACTAACAAGCAATCAGTTCTCCCAGGGGATACCAACTGAGTATCCTCCAGTTCAATTCTAACACTGTCCACCTGGAGACAGCATCAGATCCCACAAGACCACCCCTCCCCCACAGGACACCGGGCGCAAATCCAGGCCTCCTGGGTTCAAGCAATTCTCCTGTCTCAATCTCCTGAGTAGCTGGAATTACAGTATTCTACGTATTTTAGGAGTTATATGCTAGGAATCGGGGCTGAAAACCAAACTGTTTCAAGTTGGGGCTCCCAATACCCCTCTTTGAGTCCAATTAATTTGCTAGAGCAGCTCACAGAACTCAGGGAAACACTTACCTACCTTAACTGATGTATTAGAAAAGCTATTAAAAGGATACAGCTGAAGAGGTGTGCAGAGCCAGGCATGGAGTAAGGATCACAGGCATTCCTTGTCCTCCAAGGGAGAAGTACCCTCCAGTAACCTCCACGTGTCCAGTTATCCGAAAGCTCCCTAAACCCCAGCCTCTTGGGTTTTTATGGAGGCTTCATTACATAGGCACGAGTGATTAAGCCACTGGCCATTGGTGATCAGCTTAACCTCACCCTCCCCCTTCTCCCCTCCCCGGAGGTTGGGGGTGGGGCTCAAAGTCTCAACCCTCTAATCCTGACTTGGTCTTTCCAGTGACCAGCCCCCATCCTGAAGCTCTCTGGGGGCTGCCAGCCACCAGTCAATTTAGCAGCATACAAAAAGACATTACTTTGGTCTAAGTAGTTTAGGAGTTATATGCTAGGAAATGGAGCTGAAGATCAAAACATATTTTGCTATATCACAGAGAAGTACATCAAAATATTTTTATTTCCCCCTCTGGTTTAATCAAAATCTTTTTGTTTTAGCTTTTATTACTTCTTTTTGAATCAAAATCTTAACTATGGTGAAAACACAGGAGACTTTTTCTTATTTACACCTCTCTGAGTTATATATTGTCCACAATTATACGAATTAGTATGTTCTATTGTTTTGTTTTGTTTTCCAAAAAATAAGGCCAGATACGGTGGCTCACACCTATAATCCCAAAACTTTGGGAGGCTGAGGCAGGTGGATCATGAGGTCAGGAGTTTAAGACCAGCCTGGCCAAGATGGTAAAACTCTGTCTCTACTAAAAATACAAAAAAATTAGCCAGGTATGGTGGTGGGCGCCTGTAATCCCACCTACTCGGGAGGCTGAGGCAGAGGTTGCAGTGAGCCTAGACTGCCACTGCACTCCAGCCTGGGTGACAGAGCAACACTCCATCTCAAAAATAAAAGAGACGGGGAGAAGGTCTCACTATGTTGACCAAGCTGGTCTCAAGCAATCCTCCCATCTCGGCTTCTCAAAGTGCTAGGATTACAGGTATGACCCACCATGCCAGGCCTGCATTCGTTTTTTTAAATGCTTAAACTTAAAAAAAAAAAAATACATTTATTGTACTTTTTTCTTAATCAAATAATGAAATCAAATAATTAAAATTATGTGACCCATTATTCTTAGGAAACCAGGAGACTCGAGATATTTCAGCTCCCAATCACAGTAGGTAAGACAGCCTCACTTCATGGCTTCAGTTTTCTCTGTTTTTAACAACCTCATTGTTAAGTATCCTTAATTAAAATCCACCACAGGCTGGGCGCTGTGGCTCCTGCCTATAATCCCAGCACTTTGGGAGGCCTAGGCAGATGGATCACCTGAGGTCAGGAATTCGAGATGGCCTGACTGACATAGAGAAACCCCATCTCTACTAAAAATACAAAATTAGCCAGGCGTGGTGGTACATGCCTGTAATCCCAGCTACTTGGGAGGCTGAGGCAGGAGAATCACTCGAACCATGGGAGGCAGAGGTTGCAGTGAGCTGAGATTGCACCATTGCACTACAGCCTGGGCAACAAGAGTGAAACCACATCTCAAAAAACAAACAAAAAAAAATCACAATTATTCTTTTGAAAAAGATGTAATAAGGCCGGGCGCGGTGGCTCACGCCTGTAATCCCAGCACTTTGGGAGGCTGAGGTGGGCAGATCACGAGGTCAAGAGATTGAGACCATCCTGGCCAACATGGTAAAACCCCGTCTCTACTAAAAATACAAAAATTAGCTGGGCATGGTGGCACGCACCTGTGGTCTCAGCTACTTGGGAGGCTGAGTCGGAAGAATCACTTGAACCCAGGAGGCAGAGGTTGCAATGAGACGAGATTGCGCCACTACACTCTAGCCTGGCAACAGAGCAAGACTCCATTTCAAAAAAACAAAAAAACAAAAAAAAAAAGAAAAGGTATAATATAAATAAATAATTTATTTTTATAATAAATTAGTATTATTTAACATGTAATACTAAAAAGAGTTCTTAATTATGTGTAAGCCATTCTCTTTACTGTGTTCACACCTATAAAAATAAATAAAAACTTTTTTGGGGGGGGGATGGAGTCTTCTTCCTGTTGCCCCAGCAGGAGTGCAATGGCTCAATCTCGGCTCACTGCAACCTCCCCCTCTCGGGTTCAAGCGATCCTTCTGCTTCAGCCTCCTGAGTAGCTGGGATTACAGGTAAGCACCACCATGCCTGGCCAATTTTTGTATTTTTAGTAGAGACAAGGTTCCTCCATGTTGGTCAGATTTGTCTTGAACCCTCGACCTCAGGTGATCCGCCCACCTCAGCCTTCCAAAGTGCTGGAGTTACAGGGTCACTGTGCCAGGCCTAAAAACTCTTTGTAAATCACACAAAAGAAAATGAACAGAAGACAGCCAACAATATTCACCTGTCAAGAAATACACGCACATCACACTTTCACAAGCTACCTCCTCATAAATGGGTCCAGTAATGAGAAGGAAATGAAGTCCCCTGAAGCAAGGCCTAATTCCACTTGTCTGCCTTGGCCACGTAATCTCTGCAACAAAGAGTGGAAGGGAACTGATTAAAAAATGAACCCTTCTAACCTGAGAAAGCTGATTTTAAATATATACATATATGTGTGTATGTGCACACACACATATATATAATTTTTAAAAATGAACCAACAAAGCAGCAGAATGATATTTCCTTGCAAAATCTAAATTTTACATGCCTGGCAGGGGCAGTCCTAATTACTGAGGTCCCATGACACCCACAGGGTGGGTATGACTGAAGCAGCCAGCCCAAACCTGTCAGAGAACTGGCCTTGTCACATTAAATCATGCATGTCTAGGCAGCTCTGGGGCCCCAGGTCCCGTGGGCACCGTTTGCATAACTCTTTTAGGAAAGAATCTACATCCTAGAGACTACAGCAGGCAGCACAAAGGTCAGGACATTTCTTCTACTAAAAAATTCCAGGGAGGCCGGGCGTGGTGGCTCACACCTGTAATCTAATCCCAGCACTTTAAGAAGCCGAGGCTGGTGGATCCCTTGAGGTCAGGAGTTCGAGACCAGCCTGGCCAACATGGTGAAACCCCATATCTACCAAAAATACAAAAATTAGCCAGGCATGGTGGCAGGTACCTGTAATCCCAGCCACTGGGGAGACTGAGGCAGGAGAATCCCTTGAACCTGGGATTCGGAGGTTGCGGTGAGCTGAGATTCCACCATTGCACTCCAGTCTGGGGACAAGAGTAAGACTTCGTTTCAAAAAAAAGAAAAAGAAAGAAATTCCAGGGAGATGGAGATCATAAAACTGGTATAAGCGGCCGGGCGCGGTGGCTCCCACCTATAATCCCAGCACTGGCAGGAGAAGTGCTTGAACCCAGGAGGCAGAGGTTGCGGTGCGCCGAGATTGCGGGAGCCGAGATTGCGCCATTGCACTTCAGTCTGGGTAAGGAGCAAAACTCCGTCTCAGAAACAAAAACTGGTATAAGCAATAAAAATACATCCACGGCCAGGCAGGAAAGGAGGACAAGGGGAGGAAGAGAGTAGAAAATCAGGCTGGTGGTTTTCCACATACTTGCCAGGAAAAGAAACCCCACTGTAACGACTTGAATGACGTTCTGAAAGTTGGGAAGCAAAAGTCACCGGTGCAGCACACGTGGGACCTGAGTAATGCAGGCAGCCTGGGCAGGTCCCCAAAGGGCCTCATCGCCACCAAAAAGAGGTGGAACTGATGTCAGGAAGCAGTCACAGCCTTTCAAGTCTGCTGCTCCCGGATCTGAAATCTGGGAGCAGCTCTGAGAGATAAGCTCCGAATCGCTGGGCACTCAAGTGTCGCGCTGCAAGCTGAGCTGGCCCTGGCTTTTTCCCCCATCAAGGGCAGACACTGAATTCTTTTTAACTGTGTCACAAAGCTCAGGGCACACAAGAGGTACTCAAAAACGTATTCGCCGACACCCTGACTTCCTATTTATATTGACCATTACACAACATGTTTGCTTAGAGCCCAGTGAAGGATTTTCAGAATGTTTCACGTCTGTCTCCCCACATTCAGAACAAGAGATAGTCACACAAGATGACAGGCTATAGGGACGCTCAAAAGAGCCATAATCACCGGGGGCACGAGGGTTCCCCAGCGCCAGCAGCCCAACGCTCCAGGCCCCAGCACGCCACAAATCCTTGCGGCATTCTCTAAAGTCAATGGGCTGATTTTAAAATGATAATCGTCATTCTTGCGACAGCTCCAAGAAGCCGGGCTTCTGAGGTCCTGAACCCGCGTCTTTCTGTGCCCCGCCGCGGCCGCCACACAGCACAGGTTCTCCGTCCTGAAGTCACAGTCCCCCTCAGGGCCACCGTCGCACGGTCTCACCCTCGCGGCGTGGCCCGCGCACTCAGCGTCCCGGTCACCCTCGCACCTGGGGTTCCCCTTTCTACACATACCCCCGTCTTCCTCACACTCGCCGCGTCGCCGGCACACTCCGGGGCTCGCTCCCTCACGGTCACCATCAGCCTCCGGGGGCTCGTACTCACACAGCGTTTCACCCACACCCGGTCCTCACGCTGGTCCCTCTCCCCTCGCGGTGCCACCCCTCACCAGCGGCGCCTCTCGTGCGGCCCCAGCTGGCCAGCCCTGCGCAGTTTCCGGGCCGCATCCCGCTCCGGGTGGCGGCGGCGAAGACCCAGAGGGTTCGGCTCCCGCAGAACGCGGCCCGGCCCGGCCCTGCTCCCCGCGAGCCCGCCCACGGCCCGGCCGTTACCTCTCGGTGGCCGGACGCCGCCAGGATGCTCGGTCGCGCCGCCGCCGCCACGGCCGCCCAGGCCCCGCCCTGCCACGTCATCCGGCTCCGGATCGCGACAGCGCGCGCCGCGTCGGGATAAAGTTCCGCTAGGGGCCCGCTGGCGGCGGCGTTTCTGGGCCCCTGTGGCCGCTACGGCCTGGCAGGTACGGGGTCTGCAGGCCCGGCCCGTATACGTGGACGCCCCACAGCCCCCAGCGGCCTCGCCGGGTCCTGGCCACCCTCGCCGCCCTGGAGTCACACGGGACTCCAAGGCCGTCCACACCCGGACATTCCCGCGGGGAGCTCACATCGGCCCCTGCACTCGGTTCCTATCTTGCCCTTGGCCTGGGCCCGGCGCCCAGGGGGTCCCCTGCAGCTCACACAGAGATCCAAACGGCCTCCGCCTGGCCATCGCCCTCCCACCTCTCCACCCTCCCATCCCCAGCCTAGGAACCCCCACACACAGACACTGCAGGCTCCTTCCGCCAACCCCAGGCCTCCCTGGAGCTCTGTCCTCATCTTTCCTGTCCCTGCTGCCACCTCTCTTGGAGGAGCTGCACCTCCTGCCCCCTTCCCCTCCTTCTGTTTGCTCCTTCATCTTCCTCTTCCTCTGGTGGCTCTGGGGCTCTGTCTAGAGCCTCCTGACCTCATGAGCCCCTGAGCCCTCTACCGAAATTTCCTATCCACACCTCAAGCACTGACTTTCCCCAGGGCCCTGGAGTCTTTTCCTCCAGCTTTATGACCACAAATGCACATCCTCTGGTTCCAGACCACACCCAAGACCCTGCTCCCTGCTACCCAGTGACCCAGTCAGAAACAGGCAGCGTCCCAGACCCTTCCTCCCTCTCCCCTTAGGGCCTATGCCCTGTCTTCTCCCCAGCCACAATGACTTCCCAATCCCAATCCTGCTCCCCTTAACCCATCTCTGCAGAGTAGGGGATGCTCCTAAAATACAGACTGTGGTAACTTTGTATCTCCCCTGCCTAAAAACCCTTCCATTCTCCTCCCTGCAGGCCTGGGATGACAATGCTTGAGGAGCCCTCGCTGGTGCTGCCCTCCTGCCTGCCCTCTGCTTGGAACACCTCCACTAAGTGTCAGTGGATGGACGTATATACTTGGATCAATCAAGTTGCACTCTTTGCCTCCCACCTGCCTGGCTGGGCAGAGGGATGGCTCTGGACGCTTGTGTCGGCAGCTGGCCCACTTGTCCTTGCAACAGCTGCATATAAGATCTGTGCAGGCTCCTGTGCCTCTGGCTTTGCAGTCTCACACCTAGTTACAGTAGCCCAGCAGCTGAAAGCCCCGTGTACCCCACACCCTAAATCAGATGTTCTCCAACACAGTCAGTGTTCCTCAGGACCACCCTGCAGAGTACATTTATTTGTAACCATTCTTTTTTGTTTATTTGTTTTTGAGATGGACTCTCGCTCCATGGCCAGGCTGGAGTGCAGTGATGCAATCTCAGCTCACTGCAACCTCTGCCTCCCAGGTTCAAGTGATTCTCCTGCCTCAGCCTCCCATTAGCTGGGATTACACATGCCTGCCACCATGCTCAGCTAATTTTTGTATTTTTAGTAGAGATGGGGTTTCACCATATTGGCCAGGCTGGTCTCGAACTCCTTGGTGATCCACCTGCCTCAGCCTCCCAAAGTGCTGGGATTATGAGCATGAGCCACCGCACCCAGCAACCATTCTTTTCTTTTGCTTTTAGAGATAGGATCCCACTATTGCTCAGACTGGAGTGCAATGGCTATTCACAGGTGTGATCATAGCTCAATGCAGCCTCAAACTCCTGGTCTCAAGCAATCCTCCTGCCTCCGCTCAGCTTCCCACCTGGGACTACAGGTTTATGAGAGTCTTGCTCTGTCTTGCCTGGGGTGGAGTGCAGTGGCACCATCTTGGCTCACTGCAGCCTCCACCTCCAGGGTTCCAGTGATTTTCCTGTCTCAGCCCCCTGAATAGCTAGGACTACAGGCATGTGCTGCCACACCTGGATAATTTTGTATTTTTAGTAGAGATGGGGTTTCACCATGTTGGCCAGGCTGGTCTTGAACTCCTGACCCCAGGTGATCCACCCACCTGGTCCTCCCAAAGTGCTGGGATTACAGGCATGAACCACAGCGCCCAGCCTATTTCACCTTTAGAGGTAAAGTCCTACCCAGGCTGGTCTCAAACTTCTGGGCTCAAGCAATTCTCCCACCTTAACCTCCTGAGTAGGTGGAACTGTAAGTGTGAGCCAGTGCACCCAGATGTCTCGCTTCTTTTGATGAGGAAACCGAGGGTCAGGAGGCTCCCCAGACAACTTGCCTGGGGCTAGCAGAGCTGAGATTTGAACCCTGGTGTGCTGGTACTAAAGCCTCCTCTGACTCCGTGCCCTCTCTCTGCAGCTATGAAACTGAGGGTGACAGTGAAGCTAAAATGGGTCAGAGGTGAGTGTGGTGCCATGAGTAGGTGGGTGTCAGGGCCAAGCAGGGAATCAGGTTGGGCAGGGCCTGGGGTGAAGCTCCCTTTCATGTTGTCATACTTTTACTGAGGCCAGAGCTGCAGCTGGACCAGCGTATTTTTTACCCCAGATATTTTTACCCCACTCTGGGTCACCCTGTCCTTCCAGGTTTGGCTACAGGTGGTGGTGAGAGGGTTCAGAGCGCCCTCTTGTGGTCTCTGGTGTATCAAAGCCTGGCACACCTGGTTGCTCAGTGAAGACAGAACCCGTTACTGGCTAGGCTCTGGACTACAAAATTCAGACAGAGACCCTATCCCTATCCATTTCCTTGTCTCTGTCTGTCTTGGTCTCTGTCCATACTAGTCTCAGCCTAGTAGTCTCTTTTCCTCCCTTGAGCTCTCTCATCTGTACCTCCCAGAGGTACAGATAGCAGGCTGATGAGCTGAAGACGCAAAGAAGGCATCCTAAAAAGAATGCTAGGTTCAAAGGATGCTGAGACTTGTAAGTTGAGGGAGGACAGAGGCTGGGAAGAGGGTCTTGCCAGGGTGACCTGCAGGACTGTCCTTGCCCCCAGCTCCTGGGTGGCATGCGGGGTCTGCTGACTAGGCAGGAGCAGGGGAAGGACAGGACCCATTGCCACAGGAATGTTTCAGATTCTGGTTCTTTTTTTTTTTTTTTGCGACGGAGTTTTACTGTTGTTACCCAGACTGGAGTGCAATGGCACGAGCTTGGCTCACTGCAACCTCCACCTTCTGGATTCAAGCAATTCTCCTGCCTCAGCCTCCCGAGTAGCTGGGACTACAGGCGCGCGCCACCATGCCCAGCTAATTTTTGTATTTTTAGTAGAGACGGGGTTTCCCCTCGTTGACCAGGTTGGTCTCGATCTCTTGACCTCGTGATCCACCCGCCTCGGCCTCCAAAAGTGCGGGGCTTATAGATGTGAGCCACCGCACCCGGCCCAGATTCTGGTTCTTAGTCCCAGGAGGGGAACTTGATTCCAGGAGAGAGGGCAGGAGGATGAAGTCCACAGAAGGGCACAGGAACCATGCTTTGGCGCTGAGAGAACCCATCAAGGCTCCTGTAAAGCCCCAGCCCCTAATTTCGTGCCTCTCTAGCCACCTCGTATCTCCATCACCTCCCTCCCCTTATGCTTAGAGCAGAGGATAGGCCAAGGCACCTTACAGCATCCAGAGTACTTTTATTGCCCAAATCCAGATACAGCCTGTTCAGAGCCCCAGGCAGGGCCCACCACTCAGGAACAAAGGGAGAGACAGATGCCAGGCATGTATGCAACAGAGAAAATCCAGCTCCACAGAAACCTTGTGGGAGAGCAGCTCAGACCAGCCTGAAGGTGGCTTTGTGAACCCCACCTAGAGGTTGGACCCTTCTCTTGGCCTGTAGCCAGTCGCCCACTTAGAGCCTACCGCCATGAAGACAGGCCCTGACTCTCCATGGCTACTGCCACAGGGAAACCCATGCAGCACCCTGGGGCAGACAGAAAGCTCCTAGGGAGGCCCAGGGGACCCCTGGATCTCTCAGAGTCCCATTCAAGTTTCTAGGCTAGTCCTGGCAGACTAAATACCAGTCAGCTGCCTGGTGGGAATAGGTGCTAGACAGGGTGACAGGAGTCCCACCATTTCTCAGCCCTGTGCCAACCCACTTGGGTACTAGTGAGTCCCTAGGGCAGGGTGGCAGTGTGAGTCCCTAGGGCAGGGCGGGGTTAGCAAGAGGTACAGCTTAGGGAAGCTTCGAGCAGCCTTGACTGCTTCCTTGGATTCCCTTTCTCCACAGGTGCCTAGAAGGCCATGGCTCCCACCCCTGCTGTCATCCTTGGAACAACAGTCCTAGGATGAAGGTGGGTAGCTTCAGTCCTAGGGCCAACAGCACATCTGAGGGAATCAGGGCTTCTGGGACACAGGCTGCAGGACTGGGGGCACATCTGCTGCCTAATCCAGAGCTTGACTGTTGCTGGCAGTAAGGGAGGTAGGAGTGAAGTAAAATGTCCCAGGGTCTGGGAACCATGAAGATCACAACAAACTGCCCCTGCCTGCAGGGGCTACTGGGCTTGCCCCAGGAAGCCACAGTCAGGCTGGCTACCAGCTAAGCCACAGGGAAGCCAGCAGCTCTGCTATCCATGGCCAATGGCAGGCCTACCTGTGGCCAGTGTGTGGGAAGGGTCACCCGATGGGCCAGAAGCCCATCCCCGGGACCTTTGGGTACAGGACCACAGCACAGTAACATCCCTCATAGGAAGGCTGTGGGACCAGGGCCCAGTGGGCAAGTATAAAAAGCCCATAGGGGTAGGGGGAACACATGGCCCCAGTTGGGGATTGGGACCAGGGCCCAGCCAGTCCACCCTGCGGAGCCAGTCCTGAGGTCACAGCAATTCTACCATCAGCAGCATTCTTTCCATCCAATGTCCCTTGAGTCCAGACTCTGATTTCTTCCTTCACTGCCACAGACAAAGGATAACAAACGACACTTCCCCACAGCAGACGCTTCACAGCTCAAGACTCAGGGCCTTGAATGGTCAGTCACAAACTTTGTGAAACTCATGGGCCATGAAAGCCCCAGAGGCCAAGGGTAGGTCCATGGCCAAGCCATCCAGCCCTGCCTGGCACAGGAGTCAGGGCCCAAGGAGCACACGTTTCAGATAGGCCAGAGTGGTGGCGTTGGCCAGCATCTCAATGTGCTCGCTGCCTGGCAGCTCCTGCAGCAACACCTGGTGCTCCTGATGGCTCTGCCAGGCCTGGCACTGCAGGGCACTCTGCAAGTTCACAGTACCATCGCCGTCACCAAAGCAGATTTTAGGGTCACGGTCAGGGAAGCTCTCATAGAAGAAGGAGTCTGGTGTGGGGACACCAGTGCCATAGAGGCAGTGCAGCTGCACACCAGGTGGCATTGAGGCTTCCACCAGCCCCTCTGTGTCCTGCCGCATGAACCAGCCATCTTCAAAGCCGATGTCCTGGAAAAACTTGCGGTAGTCCCGCAGCGTGTAGTTGATGGTGGGTGTCTGCACGAACACCTTTTCAGGTGACCAGGTGTAGTTGTAGGGCAGTAACCAGCTGGTGGAGACAGCAGACCGCTGCTGCTCCCGGATCTTCAGGGGCCCGATGACTGGGATTCGGTTGTTGTCTCCTACAGGGAGAAGGCTCCAGTCAGCCTGTGCTTAGGAACGCCAGCTGGTTGGGCAGCATATTCACCACCAGGCCCCTGCCAGACCCCAGCCAGGGGCCCAGTCCACAGCCCCGCATCTCTACCCTGTTATCATCATTGTAGTAACTGTAACTCTCATCCCTGCCTTGGCGTTTTTTCTTCTTTTTGTGACAGAGTCTCACTCTGTTCCCCAGACATCATCAAGGCTCACTGAAGCGTCTACCTGCCAGGCTCAAGCAATCCTCCTGCCTCAGCCTTCTGAGTAGCTGGGACTACAGGTGTGTGCCACCATGCCTCATGCCTGGCAAATTTTCTTTTTTTTTATTTTGAGGCAGGGTCAAAATAAAAAAAAAAAAGAAAAAGAAAAAAAATTGCTTATAGCTATTACTGGGACAAAAAATAAATAAAAAAAGAAAAAGAGGCAGGGTCTCGCTCTGTCACCCAGGCTGGAGTGCAGTGGTGCAATCTTGGCTCACTACAACCTACACCTCCTGGGTTCAAGCACACCTCCTACCTCAACCTGCTGAATATACAGGAACTATAGGCACATGCCACCATGCTAAATGTTTCTGCTTTTTGTGCAGATGGGGGTCTTGTGCTGTTGCCTGGGTTGCTTGCCTTGGCTTTCATTGTTTCCCTTTCTTTTTGGTACATCTGGGCAGCACACATCCAGATGTGTTTTGTTTTTTTTTTTTGCTTTTCTCATCAGGGAGTGAGGCAGCACATACTCACAGGGTGATTTACGATGCTTTCTTGTCTGTAAACTGTACCCTCCTCCAAGTGCTGATAAGGCCTGTGGGCACTGACCTAGTCTAAAGTGAGTCAGCAGGCTGGCAGCCCAGAGGTGATGACATGTTCTGCCTTTTCTTTCCTGACAATAAACTGTACCAGTTTTTCTTTTCGTAATCTCAGACCAGTGTTCAGCCAGCCATGGTCTCATCCCTCCCACTTGCCTGTGCACTGACCTGGGCAGCCAGGCGTGCTAGAGACAGGGGAGGAGGGGAGGATGCAGTTGGAGTCCCTGTACACAGGAATGTGAACAACACAAACAACCGCCAGCCAGGGAGGCTCGGGAAATAAGCTGTAACTTGGGAACAGGGGCCTTTGGTCTGTTCAGGACCATGGTCGCCCATCACCCCACCCTGTATCTGAACGTGGGGAGGCCCCTGGGACTGACTGTAGGGCTTCAGCTCTGCCTGCTGTGGCTTGGCTGTAGGACCCCTGAGGCAAGGAAAGCCCCAAGGGGTGCATGGACTTCTACCTCCCCACACCACACCCCCGGTCCTGGACTGCCAAGGCCAGATAGAACAGCTTCCCAGCCTCTGAAGCAAAGCTCTAAGGGAACTCACAGAGAAACTCTGAAAGGGGCTGGGGCCCAAATGCCACTGTGGCTACCTGTCTAAACTCAGGGTATGCCCACATCTGTCCCTCCAAGCCCAGGCTAGACAGAATGGGTGGCTATAATGAGTCCTCACTAAATCTGAGTGTCTTCCAGCCAATTCAGAGTCACTGGACCTGACCCAATCACAATGCCAGTTGACCAAGCAGGTCATGCAGTGCCAGGGACTTGTGCTCACAAGATGCTTGGCATAGCTCTAGCTCATAGCTCCCAAAGTGAGGGTCCATAAGCCTCCCCCTATCAAAGGGAGTAAAGCTCCCTCCTAGAGCAGGAAGCTCTACTCTATAGCTACAGCTGGTGAGCCGCAACAGTCATGAAAAGATAAGGCAGAAGCTAGAAAGGGGGTGGCTTTCCCAACTGCCAGGCAAGCAAGCCCAGCCAGTTCTGCACCTCTTTCCTCCCTGTGTTGCCCACAGAGGCTCCTTGCTACCCACAGTTGGAGGTGCAACTCATAAATAAAAAACAAGTCTAGGGGCCAGGTGCCGTGGCTCACACCTGTAATCCCAGCACTTCCAACGCCAAGATGGGTGATCATTTGTGGTCAGGAGTTCAAGACCAGCCTGACCAGCATGGTGAAACCACATCTCTATTAAAAATACAAAAAAATCCGGCCGTGTGCAGTGGCTCACACTTGTAATCCCACCACTTTGGGAGGCTGAGGCAGGCAAATTACTTGAGGTCAGGAGTTCGAGACCAGCCTGGTCAACATGGTGAAACCTGGTCTCTACTAAAAATATAAAAATTAGCTGGGTATGGTGATACGTGCCTGTGGTCCCAGCTACCTGGGAGGCTGAGGCAGGAGAATCACTTGAACCTGGGAAGTGGAGGTTGCAGTAATCCGAGATCACTTCACTGTACTCTAGCCTGGGTGGCAGAGTGAGACCCTGTCTCAAACAAAACAAAACAAAAAACTGGTCTAGCCTTCCTCCTCTGGGGTGAAGGTAGGGATGAAGAAGTAAGGATGGGGGTAAGAAGGAGGGATAGCCAGGTGCGGTAGCTCACACCTGTAATCCCAGCACTTTGGGAAACCAAGGTGAGTGGATCACCTGAGGTAAGGAGTTAAAGAAGAGCCTGGCCAACATGGCGAAACCCCATCTGTACTAAAAATACAAAAATTAGCTGGATGTGGTGGCAGGCACCTGCGATCCCAGCTACTCAGGAGGCTGAGGCAGGAGAATCACTTGAACTCCAGAGGCGGAGGTTGCAGTGAGCCGAGATGATGCTACTGCACTCCAGCCTGAGCGACAAAGCAAGACCTTGTCTCAAAAAAAAAAGAAAAGAAAAAAGAGGGAGGGACAAGGTTTAACCCAAAGTTATTTGGCCAACCATGCCTGAGCACTATATGTATATATGTTTGTATTGTGTGTGTGTGTGTGTGTGTATGTGCAAACGAGTACCTGTGTGACCAACATTTATGCCACTCTGTATACATGGCTGTATACAGAGAACCTAAACAGATGGCCGGGCATGATGGCTCACATCTGTAATCTCAGCACTTCAGGAGTCTGAGGCAGGTAGATCATGAGGTCAGGAGAGCAAGACCAGCTTAGCCAAGACGGTGAAACCCCATCTCTACTAAAAATATAAAAATTAGCTGGGCACAGTGGTGCACACTTGTAATCCCAGCTACTTGGGAGGCTGAGGCAGGAGAATCGTCTGAACCCAGGAGGCAGAGGTTGCAGTGAGCCAAGATCTCACCACTGCACTCTAGCCTGGGCAACAGAGCAAGACTCAAAGAAAGAAAGGTGGGGGGGAGTGGGGGAGAGAGAGAAAGCCATACACAGATTACAAGGGCTATCAACTAAATGGGTGAAATTAGGAGTAGTGTTAGATTCTCTCTCTCTCTTTCATACCTAGTCCCCCAGAAGATTCTCTTCTCCTTGAGTTCAGGAATTCGAGATCAGCCTGGGAAACATGGTAAAACCTCTTCACTATACAAAATACAAAACTTAGCCAGATGTGGTGTGTGCCTGTGGTCCCAGCTATTCAGAAGGCTGAGGCCAGAGGATCATGTGAACCCAGCAGGTGAGGCTGCAATCAGCCAAGATTGTACTTCAGCCTAGGTGGAGAGTGAGAACCTCCATTAAAAGAAAAGAAGAAGAAGAAGAAGAAGAAAAGGAAGAAGGAAGAAGGAAGAAGGAGAAGAAGAAAAGAAGAAGAAGAAGAAGAAGAAGAAGAAGAAGAAAAGAAGAAGAGGAAGAAGAAGAGGAAGAAGAAGAAAAAGAAGAAGGAGGCCACTCTGAAGAAAAAGAGTGCTGACCCAAGAGAAGAGACATTGTGGAGACCAAAGCAACTCCATCTTGGCTACTAATCCATCATGTTGGCTTCTGATTAACCCCAGATCCAGGAAGGCCACTAAGATTTCCACTTTATCTTCTGTTCCTTGTGTAAGGGCACGTACTTACTTTACCATAAATGAAAACAGCCTCTGTGTTATCATCCTTCAATGTCCAACACATCCCACCAGAGTCAACCTTTCCCTACAGAATATAAGCCCTAGGTCTGGGGGCTAATGGTGTGGGGATCTACCATCTTATCTTGCCACCACCTGAGACACAATGTGGCTTCTATTCATATGTCCTATTAAATGTTTTTCTCTGAGAAACTAGGTTTGTAAGCCTCTTTCTTGAACTTTTTTTTTTTTTTTGAGACAGAGTCTCACTCTGTCACCCAGGCTGGAGTGCAGTGGTGTAATCTTGGCTCACTGCACACTCCGCCTCCTGGGTTCAGGAGATTCTTCTGCCTCAGCCTCCCAAGAAGCTGGGACTACAGGCGTATGCCACCATGCCCAGCTAGTTTTTTTGTATTTTTAGTAGAGACGGGTTTCACGGTGTTAGCCAGGATGGTCTTGATATCCTGACTTCATCATCCGCCTGCCTCAGCCTCCCAAAGTGCTAGGATTACAGGCGTGAGACACCATGGCCGGCCTTTCTTCCTCCAACCTTTAGGGGTAGATTTGCATAGACCTCACACACCGTGGGACAGACATGAGGCATGCTGGCCCAGGAGGATAACTTGGAAGAAAGGGCAGAATTCCTGGCACTAGCCCCCCACAATGGGCCAGGTAGGGTCTTACCTGAAGCCAGGACGCGCAGGGTCTTGGCCACACCCCCCCAGGGTGCACCCAGTGCCACGAAGGCCCGAATATACTTGTCCTTCCAGGCCTGCGGCTGCCGCTGCAGAAAGTAGAGCGTGTACATGTTGCCCATACTGTGGGCAACCAGCACCACGGGGCCCCCATACAGCTGGTACATCTCCTCGATCATCTCGCGGAGGGCCAGGAAGTAGGGCCCGTTTTCATCTGCAGGCCAGAGCCAGGCAGGGGTCAGGTGGATATGGTCCTGGAGCCCAAACCACTGACCTTTTCTCAGGCCAGACCCAAGACTAGAAGGGAAGGGAGGGTGCTCACATTCAAACAGAGTGATCTGGGTCCCCCTGCCTTCCATGAAGAGAGGAAGCCTTATATATCTCCCTAGGGCTCAGAGGTCCAGAGGTCCTGGGGTGGAAAATGGAGGACAGGACAAGACTGACCAAGGGTGTTGGCTATGACCATTGGACTGGATGCCAGAGGCCCAGGGACAGGGAACAGCCAAGGACAAGGGGAGAGCCCAAGGCCTGTGGTGGCCAAGATCACCTCGCCCCTACCTTCTGAGACTTCAGGGAGAGAATGAGAGTGCCTGCTTACTTGGGGCTCGGCGCCAGTCATAGGGGGCTCCTCGGACATCCTCACCCCGTGTGTAGCCCCAGCCCACAAGGCTCTCCACCATGGTGTGGAAATAGGAACCTGCAGACAGAAATATAGAGGATAAAAAAGATACAGCTAGTGCCAGCCACCTCACTACGCCCAGCACAGAGACTGTGACAGCTAGTGAGTCCCTGGAGGAATAATATAGGGCTCTGTGCCCACACTGATCAGAGACAGCTCACAGGCTGTCCCTACAAACAGCAGAGTTTCTCCAGCTCCAGCTCCAGTTCCATTCCAGCAGAATCCCCACCCCAGCTCCCGGAGGCCTTGAGTAAGGCCCACATACCCACACTGCTTTTGCTGGGGTCCAGGAACTCCAGTGAGAAGGTCTTCCCAAAGCCAGGGACACGTACATCCACACCATCAGGAAACTGGGTGGCCCTGGATGTTTTGTTGTAAACCAGCCTGTCAAGAGAGGATATTGAGCCAGTGACCCAGAGGTGACACTGAGTTGGTGTGTCCCGACACTGCATTGTGTCCTAAGTCATACTTCCTTCCCACACCCGGGTTTGGTCAGATGGATAGGAGAGACCAGAAAGTAACAAAGCAGGTTTATAAAGCACAGATCACCTGTAATCCCAGCACTTTGGGAGGCCAAGGCAGGCGGATCACCTGAGGTCAGGAGTTTGAGACAGGCCTGGCCAACGTAGTGAAACCCCGTCTCTACTAAAAATACAAAAATTGCCTGAGCACGGTGGCTCATGCCTATAATCCCAGCACTTTGGGAGGCTGAGGCAGGCAGATCACCTGAGGTCAGCAGTTTGAGACAAGCCTCATCCAACATGACGAAACCCCATCTCAACTAAAAATACAAAATTAGCCAGGTGCCAGGGCTGGGTGCTGTGGCTCATGCCTATAATTCCAGCACTTTGGGAAGCTGAGGCGGGTGGATAACGAGGTCAGGAGTTCAAGACCAGCCTGGCCAAGATGGTAAAACCCTATCTCTACTAAAAATATTTTTAAAAAATAGCTGGGCGTGGTAGCAGGTGCTTGTAATCCCAGCTACCCAGGAGGCTGAGGCAGAGAACTGCTTAAACCCAGGAGGTGGAGGTTGCAGTGAGCCGAGATTGCGCCACTGCACTTGAGCCTGGGTGACAGAGTGAGACTCTATCTTAAAAAAAAATTAGCTGGGTGTGGTGGTGCATGCCTGTAATCCCAGCTGCATGGGAGACTGAGGCAGGAGAATCACTTGAATCTGGGAGGCAGAGGTTGCAGTGAGCTGAGATCAAGCCATTGCATTCCACTTTGGCAACAAGACCAAAACTCTGTCTCAAAAAATAAAAAAGCACAGAGTAATTACGTCCAAATCAGGACCCCACCAAGCCATAGTTACTCTCAAGACTGACCCCAGGACCCCTGTCAAAGCAACACTCCCTTATACCCTGTGACCCTACCCTAGAATAAGAGTCTTGGACCTGGTTGGGAGAAGGAAGTGCCAGACCTGGTTCTGCTGTGAACTTCACACTGGACCCCAAGAGGCAGTCTACCCTCTTTCAGGTTCCCATCGCTCCATCTCCTTGAATCCAGCTCCTGCCACCCAGCATATTCCAAGCAAAGGAAATCGTTAGTGCAGCACACAACAGAACCAGAAAGGGGCTGGGCACAGTGGCTGACACCTGTAGTTACAACACTGCAAGGCCAAGGTGGGAAGGATGCTTGAGGCTAGGAGTTCAAGGACAGCCTGGGCAATACAGTGAAGCTTTGTTGCTACTAAACATCAAAAATTTTCTGGGCATGGTGGTGCAGGCCTGTGGTCCCAGCTACTTAGAAGGCTGAGGCAGGAGGATGACTTGTACCTGGGAGGTTGAGGCCACAATGAGCTGTGATCATGCTAGCCTGGGCAGCAAAGCAAGACTCCATCTCAAAAAAAAGAAAAAAAAAAAAAAAAGGCACGGTGGCTCATGCCTATAATCTCAGCACTTTGGGAGGCTGAGGCAGGCAGATTATCTGAGATCAGGAGTGGTCCCTGGAGGAATGCTACAGGGCTGATTAGTACAGACAGATGAAACCCTGTCTCTACTAAAAACACAAAAATTAGCCAGGCGTGGTAGTGGGCACCTGTAATCCCAGCTACTTGGGAGGCTGAGGCAGGAGAATTGCTTGAGCCTGGGAGGCGGAGGTTGCAGTGAGCCAAGATCATGCCACTGCGCTCCAGCCTGGGCAACAAAAGCGAAACTCTGTCTCAAAAAAAAAAAACACGACAGGCAGCATGCCCCAGGGCTGCTGTATGGGTGGATGGGCAGGTAGGAGAGGGGTCAAGGCCCAGGGAAATGGTGGGAGCTGGTGGGGAGAGACAGGAGGAAGGCCTTGTGTGGCCCCAGGTAGGCAGAGTTGGGTCCCACTTCCTCTGGGCATTGGACACAGCCGCCAGCCAACCTCCAAATGCATCCTCCATGGAGGAAGGGAATGAACCATGTTCCTATGAGCTGCCTAGTACCCCAGGGCTGTATCACCTGCCAGACTGCAACAAGGCCCAGGGTTTACCCAGCAAATTCCTAAGTGCCATGACATAGGACATGGACCCCAGCTACTTAGTTGAGATCCCTAACAGCCCTTTCTTAGTTTCTTTCTTATTTTTTATTTTGAGACAGGTTCTTACTCTGTTGCTCAGGCTGCAATGCAGTGGGGGAATCACTGCTCACTGTAGACATAACTTCCTGGGTGCAAGTGATCCTCTTACCTCAGCCTCCTGAATAGCTAGGCGGGCACCACCATGCCTGGCTAATTAATTTATTTGTTTGTTTATTTTGTAGGGACAGGGTCACACTATATTGTTTCATACTGGTCTCAAACTCCTGGGCTCAAGTGATCCTCCTTCCTCAGCCTCCCAAAGTGCTGGGATTACAGGTGTGAGCCACAGCACCCAGCCTATTAGTTTTCTAGAACTGTGTAATACAGTACCACAGACCCAGTAGCTTGTAACACCACACGTTATCTCATAGTTTCTGTAGCTGCAGTGCCAAACAGAACCAGACAAGACAGACCCCACCTCAGGGCTCAGTACATGGCTGCTGTACCATCTCCTGTGGGAAGAGAGTCGTCAGGGCCTGAAGAAATGATGGGAACAGAGCGAGGGCCAGGGAGATACCTCATACTGAAGAAAAGCCTTTGTGCCAGGCTAGGAACTTGCTCTGGCCTCCCTCATACCTAGAGGCAAATGTGCGCCCCAAAACACAGGAACCTGGAGCTTCCAGTGGTCCCAAGTCCCACTTGTCCCCTTAGATATCAGCCACAGGAAGCTGACAGGATCCCCACAAATGACCCAGATAACAGCTCCTGAGAGCCCATTCTCTCCAGGGCAATTTGTAGATTATCTCAACAGCCACACAACAAAAGCAGAAAACTGTTCTGGAAAGTCAAAGCTGTTCTGCATTGGGGGAAAATCTAAAGGGGTCAGAGAAGCAGTGAAGGCAGACAGGCCCCCCTTGCTATCAGCTGGCAGCTCCAACTCGCAGCACCTGAGGCCATGTCTCCAGTACAAAAATAGAAATGCACATCAACAGCCCAGAAATAACCCTGATCATAGAACACACAGAGGAGGAAGGAGTCAGCAAAATGGGCATCAAAACAGCTGGCAGGCCAGGGCGGCTGGAGGAGCAGCTAGCTAGTCTCTGGGAAAAACTTTTTTTTTTTTTTTTTTTTTGAGATGAAGTTTCACTCCTGTTACCCAGGCTGGAGTGCAGTGGCACGATCTTGGCTCACCGCAACCTCTGCCTTCTGGGTTCAAGCAATTCTCCTGCCTCAGCCTCCCGAGTAGCTGGGACTACAGGTGTGCACCACCACCATGCCCAGCTAATTTTTGTATTTTTGTAGAGACGGGGTTTCACCTTGTTGACCAGGATGGTCTCGATCTCTTGACCTCGTGATCCACCCGCCTCGGCCTCCCAAAGTGCTGGGATTATAGGCGTGAGCCACCGCACCTGGCCTTGAGATACAGTCTTGCTCTGTTGCCCAGGCTAAAGTGCAGTGGCTCAATCTCTGCTCACTGCAACCTCTGCCTCCCAAGTTCAGGTAATTCTCCTGTCTCAGCCTCCCAAGTAGTTGGGATTACAGGTGTGTGCCACCATGCCTGGCTTTTTTTTTGTTTTTTGTTGTTTTTTTTTTTGAGACTAAGTCTCCCACGGTCACCAGGGCTGAAGTGCAATGGCTCAATCTTGGCTCACTGCAACCTCTATCTCCTGGGTTCAAGGATTATCTTGCTTCAGGCTCCCGAGTAGCTGGGATTACAGGCACCCTCCACCATGCCTGGCTAATTTTTTGTATTTTTAGTAGAGATGGGGTTTTGCTATGTTGGCCAGGCTGGTTTCAAACTCCTAATCTCATGATCCACCTGCCTCAGCCTCCCAAAGTGCTGGGATTACAGGCGTGAGCCACTGTGCCCAGCCTTAATTTTTGTATTTTTAGTAGAGACGGAGTTTCACCGTGTTGGCCAGGCTGGTCTTGAACTCCTGACCTCAAGTGATCTGCCCATCTTGGCCTCCCAAAGTCCTGGGATTACAGGCATGAGCCCTCACACCCATCTGGGAAAAACTTTTAATTTGGGAGACTCCATTCAACTTAGACATTTATCGGGCACCAACTATGTTTCTGGTCCTACTGCTATAGAGATAAAACAGAGATACATTCCCTCCCTACTCAGAGCTCAACCTGAGAGGGAACCTCAGCGCAGAGCCACACATTCTGGGTTTGAATTCTGATTCTAATATTTATTAACTGAGTGAGCACAGGGAATTTTGTAACCTTGTTGAGCTTCCAGATTTCCCAGCTGTAAAGGAGGTTTAAAAACCACCTGTTGGCAAATAACACTGGTGGGGGGGAAAAAAAGGAAATAAAACAGCACCTATTTCATAATGGGGTTGCTGTAAGATAGGTGAAAGAAAGCATATAAAATGTACAGTGCCTGTGCAATTTGGGGAAACATCCCCAGAGAGAAATTTGGACAGGTGATGAGGTTTAGAAGAAACAAGCATGGGGCTTGGTAGAAGGAGAGGTGAACCTCTCTGGAGAGTCAAAAGGGAGATGTCAGCTGGGCACAGTGGCTCATGCCCGTAATCCCAGCACTTTGGGAGGCCAAGGCGGTGTATCACCTGAGGTCGGGAGTTCAAGACCAGCCTGACCAACATAGAGAAACCCTGTCTCTACTAAAAACAAAAAAAAATCCAAAATTAGCTGGGTGTGGTGGTGCATGTGCCTGTAATCCCAGCTACTCAGGAGGCTGAGGCAGGAGAGTCACTTGACCCAGGGAGGTGGAGGTTGTGGTGAGCCGAGATTATACCATTGCACTCCAGCCTGGGCAACAAGAGCAAAACTCAATCTCAAAAAAAAAAAAAAAAAGGAAGATGTCACAGAAGGACCAGGTTTTTGATTTGTTGTTGTTGTTGTTTTGACACAGGGTCTTGCTCTGCCGCCCAGGCTGGAGTACAGTGGTGCAATCTCTGCTTACTGCAACCTCTGCCTCCCTGGCTCAACCGATTCTCCTGCCTTAGCCTCCCTGGCTCAACGGATTCTCCTGCCTTAGCCTCCCAAGTAGCTGGGACTATAGGCGCATGCCACCATGCCTGTCTAATTTTTTTTTTTTTTTTTTGGTAGAGAGGGTGTTTCACCATGTTGCCCAGGCTCATCTTGAACTCCTGAGCCCAGGCGATCTGCCTGCCTCAACTTCCTGAAGTGCTGGGATTATAGCACTTCAGGAAGTGCTATAAATGTGCTCCCATTCACCCTTTAAAACACGACCCTAAGCCACTGTGCCTGGCTTAGGGTCGTGTTTTAAAGGGTGAATGGGAGCACATTTATCGGGCAAAGGGTGTAGAAGTAGATTCCAGGCCAAAAGAACAGCAGGTGCAAAACCATGGCATGTCCCAAGAAGAACAAGCAGCTGGAGAGGCAGGGGAGGCCGAGCCACAGGAAAGGAAAGGGGTGGGGGCCATGCCGAGGCTCTGAATAGAGACTGGGGCACAGAAATTGTGTGTAGGCAGGCATGGTGGCTCATGCCTATAATTCCAGCACTTTGGGAGGCTGAGGTGGGCAGACTACTTGAGCTCAGGAGTTCAAGACCAGCATGGCTAACATGGTGAAACACCATCTTCACTAAAAATACAAAAATTAGCCAGGCATGGTGGTGGGTACCTATAGTCCCAGCTACTCGAGAGGCTTGAACTTGGAAGGCAGAGGTTGCAGTAAGCTGAGATGTCTGAGTGACAGTGAGACTCCATCTCAAAAAAAAAAAAAAAAAAATTGTGTGCAAACATGAGAGGCCAGGGCTGAAGAGTAGAGAACAAGGGCAGCAGGAAGGGAAAGTTAGTTCTGCTTGGAGTGCAGAGGTGGTACTGACCAGACTAGACCAGATCAGACCGAGGAAGGAGAGAGGTCAATGACCTCTTGAGATGAGGACAGAAGAAACAGGCTCTGGAGGCCTCTCAGGCACCGTTGGTGAGCAGCACCCCCTGTGTGCCCCAGCCCCCACCTGATATTGTCAATCCAGCAGTCAATGATGACAGGCAGCAGCAGTTCCAGGTTCAGCCAGATTGTGAAGTAGCTTTCGGTCTTCTTGGAACAGAGGTAGTGCACCACTGTTGGCTTGTCCAACTTGGCTTCCAGTTGGTTGCCCAAATCACCAGGGACTGCAGGGGAGCACAGGACATGAGTGAGCCCTCAGTCTAGCAGGTTTGAGACTCCCAAGAACTTCGATCTCTGCAGCAGGACCCCTGAAGAGCCACAAATACTATGGCAGACCTCTGCAGTTCCACAACTCAAATTAAAGCACAGTGCTGGGGGCAGGAAATTCAGAGAACAGGGACCTTGACTCAAAAACCAGGGAGCCATCTTTGTGTAGAAAAGCTGCTACTGCAGTGTGGTGCAGAGATGCCCGTGGGGGCTAGGGAGAGGCCTGACATGTTTGAGGAAAGGCCCTAACATTTGTCTCCAACTCCAGATAGAGTAAGTCTTTTTATCTCCAGATAAAGTAAGTAGGTAGGTTCACTGGAACATCCTCCTGGGCCATTCAGATTATTGGAAGGGGGTTCAGGGTGAAGTCACTCCCCATGCTAGGCCTCAGTTTCCATATCTGTTAAATGAGATCTTAGTCTGAATCACCCCCAACAAGCACAGACACACCTCTACACAGTTTCTATGGTTAACGGACCCAGATGGAAGCTCTGCCTGGGAGGAGCAGCTTGCAGACCCCTTTACATTCCAGAACCTCCAAAGTTTGGCCAAGGCCCTGTCATTAGATATATACCCTCGAGGCCAGGTGTGGTGGCTCATGCCTGTAATCCCAGCACTTTGGGAGGCCGAGGCGGGTGTATCACTTGAGGTCAGTAGTTCAAGACCAGCCTGGCCAACATGGTAAAACCCCATCTCTACTAAAAATACAAAAAGTTACCTGGGCATAGAGGCACACGCCCATAATCCCAGCTACTACTCGGGAGGCCTGAGACAGAAGAATTGCTTGAACCCTGGAGGTGGAGGTTGCAGTGAGCCAAGATTGTGCCATCCATTGCACTCTAGCCTGGATGACAGGATAAAACCCGGGCTCAAAGAAAAAAAAAAGATATATACCCTGGAGGCTTGAACCCAAAAGTCTTCCACCCATAGCTATCCCAGGCTACAAAGAAGACAGGGCCCCATTCTCCCTGAGAGAGGGAGAAGGAAACAGAACAGACCCCTGGATCACTTAGCCAAAATTCAATAGGAGAAAGTATCCAGGACAGGCTTGTAGGAGGGAAATGAACAAAAACACAGCTGAGAGAAGCTTACATCAGCACCTGCCGACCTACCAAGGGCCCAAGTCTTACTCAAGGCCAGAGTCCAGTAAGGTTCCGGAGAGCAGATCATCTGGAGGGCCCTGGCATGGCTGGGAGCCCGTGTTGGAGACAGCCACCCTGAACCAGAGCCATTCTCGCCACAGTCCAGGCCCTAGGGTGACTCCTCTCCATCTCAGCCAGCCTGATCAGTCCACTCAGAACTCTGGGGCCCTGGTGACACCCAAGTCCCTCCCCACTGCTTCGAAGCCCTTCACAGTCTTATTACTCCCAGTGACCTTTCGGGCCTGACCTGCCCCTACATGCCATGATCTCGCCACTTCCCAAACACAGCCCCATTTGGGATCCGTGATCATCGAGTAAAAAACCAGTGCTTGGCTCTCCTGGACATTCACTGGGCACTGACTATAAATATACAGTCCTGCATAGTGTGTGCCCTCCCTGAGCACCGTCCCAGTGTCTTCAGGGTGCCATGGGAGGCAGGGGTGGCATCTGCCTTCACTTCCCTTCATGGTGTGGGTACAGAGGCAGGGAGTCCCCATCACAACAGCCTCTGGATGATATGCCTGAGGACTGGGCAAGGAGTGGGCAGAGACCCTGGTCACTGTCTCTACCAAAGGGGAAGTGGCTGAAAGAGGAAGTCATCAGATATGCTTTACTCAGATGCTCCTTGCCCTGGTCAGGCTGTGTGGCCTCTAAAAATAGCAGTGGCCACTTCCTGAGACCCTCTGTGCCTGAAACTAGGACAAGAGCCATCCGTATGCCTTTCACTTCCAGTAACACTGGGAGGGGACGGCCTTATTATTTCCACTTAACAGATGAGGAGACTGAGGCTGTAAGAGGTGGAAATGGCCTTGCCTATGCTCCCTTCCCCTTGCCTAGGGTCTTCTGTATCACATCTCTGGTCTCTATTTCCTACACCATTTCAGGACCCGCCCCTAGAGGATTCCGATCCTCTGATGGCCAAGGTCAGATCCCTGCTCTGTGCCCAGGAGCTGCTTGTCCACTGCCCACCGTGAGGTCTCCCAGGGCTAAGGCCAGCAGTCTCATTCCCTGAGAAGCTGGGCAGGTTAGGGCTCCTGCTGCTCTGTGATTCTGGGTGGGGACTGAGGCTCTTCTGCTGTGACCTAGGATAAACAGACTGACGTATTGATGAGTGTGGTTAGCAATAATCCAGGCAAAATGGCTGTGTGCCAGTCACAGACCACGTGCTTCCCAATGCCACACCCCTCAGACTTAGAACTCTGCAGGCCCACCTTAGGACTCCCTGAGGGCCTCAAGATAAAGTCCAGATCACCCAACCAGTCACAAGGCCTGTGCAGTCCACTCCTCCCCTGATTCGATCACAGGAGGCCTAGGATGCTCATCTCTCTTCCCCTGCCCAGTACTCTCTCCTGGCTTTAGCTCCACCTGTATACTCCAGGAACCCTTACTTGACACCCACCCATCAGTGCTGGGTTTGTGGATTCTCTGTGCTTGCCAAACACAGACTTCCTCTCTGGGGATCATTGTTATTTCCATCCTGCAAGCTTGGGGAAGGTGGGACCAAGTCTGCCCAAATCCCATGGTGAACCTGGGCCAGGTATCCCCCTGGAGCATTTCCGGACCAGGAACTCCTGATGGGGGCCTTTCTGGCACCACCCTGCAAACTCTAACCTTCTGTGATTTGCATCGTCCTCATTTAAAGTACTCTCAGCAGAAAGAGCATGGAGATCACACTGCACTAGACTCCCTGTGTAACTCATGCCTCGGATGACTCTGCCTTCAGGAATCCTGGCTGGCCACGGACACGCCAGCTCTGGATGAGAGTGACAGCCTGAATAAGGCACTCAAGGCCCCCTAGAGAGAGGTCTCATCCCTGCCCATCCCCACAAAGAAATACTGTGGCCAATATAGAATTGCCAGGGTTGTGATCAAGGAGTGGGGTGGGCAGGGGAGGTCACCGAGACCCAAAATAGTCTAGCCTAGTCCAAGCATGTGTGGCAGGGTAAGAGTACGAGCAGGTTGCCTGACACAGGCTCATGGCCATTGTCCCAACCCTTTCCCTTCAGTTTCCCTCAGGCAGTGGCACATATCTGATAAGTTATGGAAGTTGATGGCCCCTAGGAGAACAATCCTTTCCCTAAGAAGGTTCCTTTCAGTAATGCTTTCAAGAATATGTGGCTGGAGGGGTCGAGGGTGACAGCCTCCTAGCCAGGCCCAGGTCATGCAGAGGTCAACTCGGGGCCACTCTACACACTCCCACCACCCCTCAGGAGTGGGGCCCAACCATCTGTCTTTCCAGCTAAAAAAACTGGATAAGGGGAGGCAAGGCTTGGGAATGATGTGGACAGGTGGAAATATGAATAACCAGATGGTAAGTCTCCCACTCACTCCCATTTTCTACCAGGGCAGGAGGTGGGGGGGGGGGGGGCTGACCACACCCACGCCCAGCAAGGCGGAAGGTGGGCCGGCAGATCTAGATCACCTGTGACAAGACAGACATCAAATACGCTACCCCATCCTGTGACTGGAACAGATGCAGACCATGAAGGCAGCCCCGCCCGCAGCCCGTCCAGCCCGACCCACCACCAGACCCGTGCCTCACCCAGCACCACCGAGGGGTGTCGTCCGGCCGGGAGCGCGGGGTCTGCGAGCAGCATTAGCAGCAGCAAGAGGAACAGGAGGCCATCCGGGAGCAGCCGCACACGGTAGGGGCGGAGGTGGGGGCCCATGGTGTGCGACGGTCGCTGCAGGTCCAAGGTGCAGGTTCAGCGGTCTGGGCTCTCGCTAGGGCGGGGGTGGCGGCGACGCGCTTAACCCCGCCGCCCGCATCCCCCTCATCCCCCGGGCCAATCAGGGCCCGCCTCCCGCAAACGGTCGGCCAATAGGGACTCGCCGGCATATACGTCCCTCCCAGTCGGAGCTCGCCGCCCCGCCCTTGCTCAACCCCCTGTGCCCTGGACCATGCTGCGCGCCGAGCGCATCGATGGATTGAGGTACTGCCAGGCTCCGGGCTCTCAGCCGCCCACCCGGGCACCCAGGTCGCCGCTGCTGTGTACCTCACCCAGCCCTGGGTACCCGAAATCCACGCTGCGTAGCCCTCACCTGGCGCTTCCCTGACCTGGAGAATCTGAAACGGACAAGACCGAGAGAGGATAAAGGGTGCAGCGCTAGCCGCTGTTGAGCGACCCGGGTCAAAGCAAGAAGAAGGGAAGTGAGACCCGGACAGTTCTTGGGCCTCATGTGACCAGGAGCTGACCAGGGCCTTTGTGCAACCCCTACACCAATTCTTAGCACACCCTGCTCCGAGGGCACCTGGGTTCGGCCAGTCGGCCCTTGTAACTGTCTGCCCGGGGTACAGATGCGGGGGAACCAGGAGAGACCAGGTCAGCACGTTCAGTTCCCAAGAAGGAGGTTAAACTGTTCGTTTTAAGGGCGGAGTGCAGCGTCACCCCGCCAGTCGCGGGCGGGCGCAGGGGTGGGAGTGGGTTTGTGCCTCGACCTTGCGCCATGGGCCATCTGCAAGTTCCCCTGTAGAGCAGAAGAGTCATCAGGAGTTCGTGCTCCTCTCCGCTCAAGCAAATCTGAGGAACCAGAGAGGACATGGACTCCCTGCACCAGGAAGCAGGGGCGAACAGAATGGGCAAAGACCTGACAGCCGGTTATCTGCTGGCACCATAGGTCACTGTGGGATAGAGGGACCAGAGTGCTTGGGAAATAGAGGTCTTGATCCTCCACACACAACCCCTTCGAAGGGGCATCTGCACCCTGGTCATCCCACCTGCCCAAGACCTTTGTCCTCCTGCCCCTTCCTTCATTCTTCTTGGTAAGCAGCCAAGAAGAATGAAGGAAGGGGCAGGAGGCTATGAAGCCACTATATTGCCCTGCCCTCCTCGAGTTCTTATAGTGAAATATGTTGGTGACTGGGCTACCTACCACCACTCCCTTTTTCTTTTTCTTTCTTTCTTTTTTTTTTTTTTTTTTGAGACAGAGTCTCTCTGTCACCCAAGCATGAAGTGCAGTGGCTCCATCACGGCTCATTGCAGACTTGACCTTTCGGGCTCAAGCAATCCTTCCAACCCGAGCCTCCTGAGTAGCTGGGACTACAGGTGTACACCCACACGCTCAGCTAGGTTTTTAAATTTTTTGTAGTGTTGGCGTCTCACTATGTTGCCCAGGCCAGTCTTGAACTACTGGCCTTAAGTGATTCACCTGCCCAGCCTCCCAAAGTGCTGAGATTACAGGTGTGTACCACCATGCACAGCCCCACCCTCTCTTAAGGTCCAGCCATCTGCCCCTAAGGCCCTGGCTCAGGACTCCCACTCCCAAATCCCCTACTTCCCCCACCTTCACCCGTGTCCCAACAGAAGGTTGCTGAAGCCCCATCTGGTGAAAACCCAGTGAGGGAGACCATAGAGACGCTTCTGCAGGCCTAGGGAAGGGCAGGAATCCAGTCAAAGGTTAAGTGGGGGAAGGGAGGGATCAAGAGGACCAGGGCCACCCTGGAGTCTGGCCACAGTCTAAACATCTTGCCAGCCCCGCAGCATCAGGTGACTATGGGCCCCTGGAAGGGTAGCCCTGTCCTCAAGAGGGGTTGCCTGGTGCTTCACTCCCACAGGCCTTACACTTGTTAGGAACCAGAGCCATTAGGGGCAGGATGGCAAGGCCCAGTCAGCAATGTCCAATGCTGGCACTGTGGAGAACGGTCAGAAGGTGAGGGTCCTCCCTTTTCGTTGTGACTCTGCCATCCACCCAATCCCCAGTCTGCAGACCTGGCATCATCCTGAGCTCTGGATGCCTCCACGCTTCTCAGAACCACAACTCAGGTGGTCATAAGGGCTTGCCGGCTCTACCCTCCCCAAACTACACTACCCTATTCCCACAACAGCCTCGTCACTGATGTCCCAATGCACACCCACGTTCCTGTGGGTTGTTCTCCACATGACAGGCTAACACCATTTTTTTTTTTTTGAGATGGAGTCTTGCTCTGTCGTCCAGGCGGGAGGTGCAGTGGCACGATCTCGGCTCACTGCAACCTCTGCCTCCCAGGTTCAGGCGATTCTTCTGCCTCAGCCACCCGAGTAGCTGGGATTACAGGTGTCTGCCACCACGCCCAGCTAATTTTTGTATGGGCCCAGTGACTCACGCCTGTAATCCCAGCACTTTGGGAGGCTGAGGCAGATGGATTCATGAGGTTAGGAGTTAGAGACCAACCTGGCCAACATGATGGAACCCCACCTCTACTAAAAATACAACAAATTAGCAAGGCATGGTGTCACACACCTGTAATACCAGCTACTCTGGATGCTGAGGCAGGAGAATCGCTTGAACCCAGGAGGCAGAGGTTGTGGTGAGCAGAGATTATGCCACAGCACTCCTGCCTGGGCGACAGAGCAAGACTCTGTCAAAAAACAAAACAAAACAAACTGTCTTTTGTGGGGGAAATTTTGTAACTGTAAAGAATCTCTATTAACATAGCTAGATCTTTTTCTTCCAGGTCCTCCCAATCCTGAAGAGATTAAGAGTCTAGCACCTTTTAAAGGTCTGAATAGGAAATATTTGTCATTTATTATATCTAAGGGCAGCTTAGAGACATGCCTGTAATCCCAGCACTTTGGGAGGCCAAGGAGGGTGGATCACCTGATGTCAGGAGTTGAAGACCAGCCAGTCCAACATGGCAAAACCCATCTCTACAAAAACAGAAAAATTAGCTGGGCATGGTGGCAGGCACCTGTAGTCTCAGCTACTCAGGAGGCTGAAGCAAGAGAATCACTTGAACCTGGGAGGCAGAGGTTGCACTGAGCAAGATTGCGTCACTGCACTCCAACCTGGGAAACAGAGCAAGACTCCACCTAAAAAAAAATAGTATCCAGATATTTTACAGAGTTTGACTCTTTTCATTGACAGAATAAATCCAGAGACTGAAGAGCCACACCAGTTGTGGTATCTTCCTTGGGACAGCATATAGCCTAATAGCCTTCACCTCTCCTGCCACCAGGCCCTTTGCACTCCCTCTTGCTGACCTAAGCTCCAAGCTCCCCTACCTGGACCAGGTAATCCAGGACTTGAGGCAACCAAACTAAGACCAGGGCTTTCCGAGCTGATTTGGTGGTCAAAGCTGAGTCCATTCAGAGACAGGTGGAATCTCCCTAAAGCTCATGGCTCAGCAGGCCCCCCGTTCCTCTGCCACCACTCTCCCTGCAGTCACAGGAGGCCTAACACTGATCCAGCCACAACAGAACTCTGCAGGCAAAGGGCCCAGAACAGAGATCATGCCACTGCACTCCAGCCTGGGCAATAGAGCAAAACTCTGTCTCAATAAAATAAAATAGGCCGGGTGCAGTGGCTCACACCTGTAATCTCAGCACTTTGGGAGGCTGAGGCCAGCCGATTGCCTGAGCTCAGGAGTTCAAGATTAGCCTGGCCAACATGACAAAACCCCGTCTACCGAGTACCAACTTGGCTGTAGAGACCCCCACCCAGGCGTCACTGAAGGAAATGAGAGGCAGACACCCAGATAGAAGAGCAAAGTGGGTCTATCCCGGGGTCCAGCAGCCTTCCAAGCTGAAAGCCTCAGGGGCTGACAGCTTTCCAGGCTGAAGGCCCCAAGTAGACACTGACCCAGTTATTTAGTCTCTCTGAACAGGTGATTATTATTAATTAACAGGTGTTCTGTGTTTTCTCATAACAAAATATGCCAAGTAAGCAGCTGGTGCTTGCTTACCACTGATCACAAATAAACTAAAAAGTATTCTCCACAAGGGAGCCACAGGGGCAGGGTCAGATATCTTAAAGAATGGATTTAACAGGTGTAGGATATTTATATATTGTCCTGCCACTTTGGAATGCCCCAAGTCATTTTCTACTGGGCGGGGGGAGCGGTGGATAGGTTTTCCTTGCCCCATCGTTCTTCCTAGCAAACAATATATGCTATCATACACTCAGCATTCATCAATATTCATAAACTTAACATTTCTCAACACCCATCTCTACTAAAAATACAAAAAATTAGCAGGGGGTGGTGGTGCACACCTGTAATCTCAGTTACTCTGGAGGCTAGAGGCACAAGAATCGCTTGAACCCGGGAGGTGGAGGTTCCAGTCACCCAAGATCGTGCCATTGCACTCCAGCCTGGGCGACGAGATTCTGTCTCAAAATAAAAATAAAAATAAAATAGGCCAGGTGCCATGGTTCATGGCTGTAATCCTAGTACTTTGGGAGGCTGAGGAGGGAGGATCATCTGAGGTCAGGAGTTGGAGACCAGCCTGACCATGTAATTTTGTATACTAAAAATACAAAATTAGTCAGGTGTGGTGGAGTATGCCTGTAATCTCAGCTACTCGGAAGGGTGAGGCAGGAGAATCGCTTGAATCTGGGAGGTGGAGGTTGCCATGAGCCGAGATGGTGCCATTGCACTCCAGCCTGGGCAACAAGAGCGAAACTCTGTCTCAAAATAATAATGATAATAATAATAAATACATAAATTAGCCTTGCGTGGTGGCGGGTGCCTGTAATCCCAGCTACTCAGGAGGCCGAGGTGGGAGAATGGCTTGAACCCAGAAGGCGGTGGTTGCAGAGAACCAAGATCGCGCCACTGCACTCCAGTCTGGGCGAGAAGAGCAAAATTTTGTCTCAATCAATCAATCGATCGATCGCCAGAGGGTACTGGCCTGACAGGGGCATAGAAGGCACCACCTTTTCACCACTGTCCTGGTGCTTTGCTCGCCCTTGGGCGCCAGCCCCGCCCCCTCTGGGTCTGGCAACGGAGTCAGCGCGCCCTCTGGCGGATGCTCGGCAGCGACACTGCACAGGCCTGGGATCCCAACCAGTGAGGTGGAGCCCAAGGCTCTGGCTAGAGGGGTAGCCCGCGAGATAAGGAGGGAAGTTGAGAGCGGGGACGGGTCTGGACAGTCGAGGGTGGATCTCCGCGGTGCTCCGCAGCGTCGAATCCTCTTCCACCGCGAGATCTTTCCTGGCCGGGAAGGGAAGGAGGGAGGGCGTTTTTGCACCACTCCTAGACGCCCTGGAGGTTCCAAGAGAACTGCCACACTCCCCGTCCCCCGCAAGAGCCCCGACCCTGTACTGCCCGGGCTTCCTGTCCCCGCGGCAACAGGCTGCCTTTAAGGGTCCAGCCCAGACAGGCTTGAGAGCCAAGGTGAGGGTGGAATTTCGCGAGTATGGGACCCACCGGATCCAGTCCTATCTTCCAAATACCTGGCACGCGTTTTTGAGAAAGGAGCCTGGCCTCTGGCAGCCTGGGTCTTCGGGGACTTGCCTACCTCTCTGCCGTACCAATCTCCTGTTCATTAATTCATGAACCCCAGGGGAGCGAGGAGTGTGGTGGGGGACATTTTTCAGAGAACAGAAATCTCAAACTACAGAGGGGACCGCTGTTGCGGAAGGCAGAAAATCTGGAGGAAGGACTGGGATTAACTAGAGAAGGGGCAGGACTGGAGGGAAGGAAAGGGCACTACTGCAAAGGCCTGTGGCTCGAGGGAGGCTTACCATTGCTGAAATATCCTATGGCAGAAGCAGCTAGCCTTAGACAACAGTTCATTCATTCAGTGACATTCGAGGATCGGATGATGGGGCGGGAAGACAATACACGATTAATTAATCGTGTTGTAGGTTGGTTAAGTTGGGAGGGTTGGGGGTCAGAAATAAGCAATGAGGGACGGTTGGGGGACAGGAGTGCGGATTGTTTAGTAATAATGGGGTGATCTGGGAGGACCCATCTGAAGATGAGTAAGGGATCTCAGCGAAACGGGCTTCCCATCCTTCCCCCCGCCCCCGCGCCAAACGAAATTGGTTGTTAAAGAAGAATCCAAGGGTTGGAGCTGGCCCCGTGTCTCCCGCCTGTAATTCTAGCCCTTCAAGAGGCTGAGGTGGGCGTAGTTCAAGACCAGCCTGGTCAACACGATGAAACCACGTCTCTGCAAAAAATACAAAAATTAGCTGGGTGTGGTGGCGGCGCGCGCCTGTGGTCCCAGCTACTTGGAAGGCTGAGGTGGGAGGATCCCTTGAGCCCCGGGGATGTCGAGGTTGCAGTGAGCAGAGATTGCGCCGTTGCACTCCAGCCTGAGTGACAGAGTGAGACCCCGTCTCAAAAATAATAAATAAGTGAATGAATGAATCCGCCGGGCGCGTTGACTCACACTTGTAATCCTAGCAATTTGGGAGGCTGAGGCGGGTGGATCACCTGAGGTCAGGAATTCGAGACCAGCCTGACCAACATGGTGAAACTCCGTCTCTACTAAAAAAAAAAAAAAAAAAAAAAATTAGCCATGGGTGGTGGTACACACCTGTAATACCAGCTACTTGGGAGGATGAGGCAGGAGAATTGCTTGAATCTGGGAAGCGAAGGTTGCAGTGAGCCGAGATTGCTCCATTGTACTCTAGCCTGGGCAAGAAGAGCAAAACTCCGTCTCAAATAAATAAAAAATTTTAAAAATAAAAATTAAAAATAATCCAAGAGACAGGAATCGTCTTGTTATGGGGGCGGCCGGATGGGCGCCCGGGGGTTTAGGGGAGCCGCACTGTTACCAGCACGTGCCTCAGGTTCACCACCCAGCGGCGACCTGGGCACGCATAAGCGCGTCTTCCGTGGGAATGCGCTCAGGACGGCCAGAGATGCCACAATGGTGCCGTCACCTCGCGAGGGAGGCTACAGGGAAGAGCAGGCGTCGAGACCCACGCTGAAGAGGTAAAAGGGCCTAGAAGTTGCACAGATGAGGTCGCCAGGAGGGACAAGAAGGAGACCGAGTACCGCCCGGACCCTGTACTGTAGGAGTGGAACACAGACAGGAGACAAGGAAGAAGCAATGGGCTTCTAGTGAGCTTTAGGAATACGGCGGTTACGGCCGCGGGTTTAGGAGAGTTGGTTGGAAGGGCGCGGCATGAGGAAGCACCGCCTCCGCCAGGCGCAGGCGCGCTCCCGGACGGGAAGGGGAGGGGCCTTACTTGCGGCCGCGCCCCGCCCCACGAACAAATATTTGACATTCCAGGCTTATCGGGAGGCGGGGCCCGAGGAGCAACATTCTCCCTCCCGCCCCGGCGCCTGATTCTCTTACCGCTTCCGGGGGAGGAGCACGTGAGCAGTGCCGGGTTGAGCGGTCCGAAGATGGGCAGCTGCTCACCGACGCCCGCCTCCACCTCTAGGGAAAGTAAAGTGCTAATTGCTCGAACTCGCCGGGCGAAGGATGCACTTTCCATTCTCTCCCTGTCGCCGTGTCCGGGCGCATGTTCTTTCCGTCCTGGGTGCCTGTTTCTTCAGCTGCCAAGTGGAGCTACGCTGAGCTCTCTCGCCCCAAGCCTTGCCCCTTTCCCGGGTATAAGCTTTAAGGATGCGCCCGGGTGCCCCGGTCTCTCCATTGTCCACGGACTGGATGCAGCGCCGCGTTTGTCCGAAAGCGCGTGGTGCGGCTCCGGTCTGTCTCGAGTTAGGCTAGGCAATCGCGTGACTCAGTTCCCGCCAGGCTGAAGCCCCTCCTTCCTGCTGGATTATTCAGTTTCTCAGTCTCCTACCTGGGAGAGTTTGGGAACTTAAGAGACAGCCGAGAAGCGCGCCATAAAGGAGCCTCACCAAGCTCCACTGGGCGGAGGAGGCACTGGGAGCCCCTAACGCGGGACTGTTTGAATTGGATTATAGGTGCGAGATGGAGAAAGAAGGATCTGCCGCCCGCACGCGCACACACACGCTTAACGATAGCCCGCCACTGGCCAGCGCGCTCGCAATCCCCAGGCAGCTGATGCGTCGTCGAGAAAGAGACGAAACCAGGCGGGCGCCCCCACGTGGGGTAGGAGTGAGGCTCCAGGCCCGTTCCATCCCTCTCAGCCTCGTCTAGGGTGCAGGTCACTGGGATTAGGGGGGTTCCCTTTCTCCAGCATTGGGACCTGCGCACTTCCAGCCCACAACTACCGCTCTCTGGCACTTCTCGGTGCCAGGCTACCGCTCAGCCCTAGCATCTGCGTGGGCAAGCCCTTCCCTGTGATCCCTGGTGACTACCCCACATCTCTAACAACCCTGATGATCCCGCAGCGTTCTCCTTTCCCAGCTGACTTCTGGCGATTCCCCGACAGGATGATACCCGGCAACTCTCACTGCCCCCTTGACCCTTTGACTTCCATCAACCCCAGACCTGCCGCGGTGAACCCCACAGCCCCTAGACTGACTCCTGGTGAACTTCCATAGGTCCTGTGTGACCTCTTACTGGAGAAGGCCTTCTAGTCTTGCACGCTCCTTTGCGGAGGCCTGACGACCCCTGGGGAAAAGTTGGGGGAGAGCGGAAGAATGGATTCGCTTCAAGAATCAGGCAAGACCTGTCCTAAAGTAGAAATGCGGATCCTGAGCGTCCGCCCAGGCCGGGAGTGTGAATTCTCGCGTCCTGGGCAGGGTTCTGGCGGCCCTCCCCCAAGGTTCCCGGCGCCGCCCTGGTCACGTGGACGGCGGGGCCGGCAGGTAACTCGCCTGGAGAGGGCGTGGGCCGGTAGCCGCCCCGCCCCACGGGGTGCCACGGGCGGGTATCGGCAGCGCCCACTGAGCCAGCCCGGCCACAGGTGCCGCCCCCGACACACTATGTCCCGCCCAAGCTGATCCGCGTCTGCCGTCGGTCGGTGCGTGCGTGCGCCTCGTCGGTCCGCGTGTGTATGGCCGAAAGCCCCTTTTCTCTGCGGCCATGACTCCTCCGCCGCCCCCGCCCCCAGGCCCTGACCCCGCGGCCGACTCCGCTGTGGATCCCTGCCCCGGACTTGGGTCACTGGTCGTCCTGTTTGGGGCTACGGCTGGTGCGCTGGGGCGGGACCTGGGCTCCGACGAGACCGACTTAATCCTCCTAGTCTGGCAAGTGGTTGAGCCGCGGAGCCGCCAGGTAGGGTGGAAAGGAGGCGGTGAGGGTCACCAGGGAGCTTCCGGAGTCGAGGAGCGCGGCTGATCGGTTTCCCCCGCCGCTCACAGGTGGGGACGCTGCACAAATCTCTGGTTCGCGCCGAGGCGGCCGCACTGAGTCCGCAGTGCCGCGAGGCGAGCGGCCTGAGCGCCGACAGCCTGGCGCGGGCAGAGCCGCTGGACAAGGTGCTGCAGCAGGTGAGCGCCGGGGTGGGCGGCTGCACAGTCTGGCCGTGAGGACATTTCTGGGCAGGAGAGACGGCCGGAGGCTTAGGCCTGGCGTGCCGCAACCAACCGGCCTGGGCGTCAGGAGAGAGGCTTGTTTGAAACTCTAAGCGACTCTCGCATGTTCGTGTCCCTTTCATCCGCGCGTGCCGGCCATTCCCCTGGACTCCTTACTTTTCAACTATTGTAGGGACTTACTCCTACCGATCGGGACACAGGCTTTGGGATCCATCCCGAGCGAGGAGCGAGGGTGAGACGCCTCTGGGAGACCTGCTGGGTCGGGTCTCCCAGCAGCCAGAAACGAAAGGGATCGAGGGATCCAAAGTTGGCTGTAGATGACCGGCCCTTGTGGCCTGCGTCTTCGGCCCGCCTGGGAGCCGCTGTAGCGGAGGCGTAGGGCGGTGTCGGCCCTAGAGGTAGACGCCGCCGCCGCCAGGTGTAAACTGCTCGTCTAGGCCTGTCCTGGCCGGCTGGCCAGGCGTGGGCGCTGTCCCGGACTGGCCTGGGGGACCATCTGCCTGCTGAGTGCAAAGGCCTGGGGTGCCTCCTGCCCTGTCTGAAGTGGGAAGTGGTTTCCATTACTGTTTTCTTTTCCTTATCTTCGCTATGGCGCTCATTCTGTGTCTGACTTGATTGTAATTAGTGTAAGTCCTTTAATAGGCACACATTCTTTCATCTTCCAACAACAATGGTGGTTCCTGATGAGGAGGCACAATGATGATTGCCAATCTGTTCCAGAAGGGCTCCTGGCCTTTCACTTGAGTTTGCTGGAGGATAGCTGGGTTGCCTGCTCTGCCAGTCTCGGGTTGTAAAGTGTCACAGAATTGGCAGGGAGAGTTGGTGGGTCTGTAATTAGTGCTTATACTTCTCCAGCGGGGATGGAGGATTGGGGAGGGCTACACAGCTTCAGGAGTGCCACCCCCTCTATGTGCAAACAGCTCTGCGCCAGCTGGTCGATAGGGTATGGGTCAAAGCTCATGCTGCCCCTGATGTCCAAGTGTAGAGCTCTGTCCCTGGAGTTTCTCTGCCCCTGGGTTGGTCAGACCTGGAGGCGGGGCTGCCATTGACCATGAGCCTTCTGGGCCTCAGGCAGGCCTGGGCCTCCCCCACCTGTCTTAGGTTGGTGCCTGGCCAGAGACAGGTTTAACCTGCTTTGCCCCGCCCCTTCCCACCTGCTTGTCCCACTCCAGGTGTTTGCTCTGGCCCCACTCCAAACTCCTGGAGTGTGTGTGTTGGGGGCTTGGGTTATGTGTGATTGCCCTCAGTTGGCCTGAAGGAGGTGACAGTGGACTGGAACAGGATTAGGGGGTGGGGGGAAGGGACACAGGGCTAGGCTCAACAGGCGTGGCCTCTTCTTCCCAGGCAGGATAGGGCTGAACATCTGGCTGAACCAGCTTTGCAGCCTGCCTCCTTCCTCCTCCCACCTTCACTTCCTGCCTGCCCAGCTGTGAGTCTGTGTGTTTCTCTCTCCCCACTCCCTATCCCCAGTTCTCACAGCTGGTGAACGGGGATGTGGCTCTGCTGGGCGGGGGCCCCTACGTGCTCTGCACTGATGGGCAGCAGCTATTGCGACAGGTCCTGCACCCAGAGGCCTCCAGGAAGGTATGCCCTTGAGGGAAAACTGGGCTGGGGCGGGGGCAGTAAGGTTTCCAGGACTCCTGTTGTCCTGAGGGTGGGCAGGGCACTCATCCCCATTCCTATGTGCCCCCAGAACCTGGTGCTCCCCGACACCTTCTTCTCCTTCTACAACCTCCGAAGAGAGTTCCATATGCAGCACCCAAGCACCTGCCCTGCCAGGGACCTCACTGTGGCCACCATGGCGAAGGGTATCTGTGACCCAGCAGGGTTAGGGTGGAGGAGCCACTGTGGGTAAATGTGTCTGAGAATGCCAGTGCTGGTGGGTAACCCACCATATGGACACATATAAGTCTGCATTATGTGCTAAGTCCCTGAGTGTATCTATGTCTTTGTGTCTGTGCTAGAGTGATTTTGGAATGTGGGTATGTGTCTTATCTATGTCTGAGCTGGGGACCTGTAAGTGTACACATGAACTGGGCCAAATGTGTATGCTGGTCTCTAGCATGTGTCTATGAAGGGGATTTGGGCCCTGGGGTGAACAGGATTAGTGCTTACGGCTAAGTAAGATATCTTCGCTGTCACTTTTCTGCCCATAGATTTAGGACTGGAGACAGATGCCACAGAGGATGACTTTGGGGTCTGGGAAGTGAAGACAATGGTAGCTGTTATCCTCCATCTACTCAAAGAGCCCAGCAGTAAGGTTTCCCTCACTGCCTGTCACCTGTTCTCAGGGATGGTGAATGCCTGCCTATTACTCCTCCCCACTTGTAACCTTCTGTAAGAGACCACAGGGGGAAGCCTCTGTCTTTTTTCTTTTTTTTTTTGAGATGGAGTCCCTCTCTTTAGCCCAGCCTGGAGTACAGTGGTGCAATCTCAGCTCACTGCAACCTCCACTTCCCCAGTTCAAGTGATTCTCCTGCCTCATCCCCCAGAGTAGCTGGGATTACAAGCACCCACCACCACGCCCAGCTAATTTTTGTATTTTTAGTAGAGGCAGGGTTTCACCATATTGGCCAGGCTGGTCTTGAACTCCTGACCTCAAATGATCCACCCACCTTGGTCTCCCAAAGTGCTGGGATTATAGGCCACTGCGCCTGGCCTGTCATTCATCTCCCTCAACTGTCCTCTTTTTGCAGAGCTTGGTGGGGAGAATCCCCCACTCCACCACACCCTGCTGACCCCCACACCCATCTTTTCTCAGGTCAATTGTTTTCGAAGCCTGAGGTGATAAAGCGGAAATATGAAACAGGGCCTTGGTGAGTGTGGGAGCAGGGGTTGGGTGTGACAACAGCTGGACAGCTCTGACACTGTGTCCTGCCCCTACAGCAGCAAGGCTGATGTGGTGGACAGTGAGACTGTGGTACGGGCTCGTGGGTTGCCCTGGCAGTCATCAGACCAGGACGTGGCTCGCTTCTTCAAAGGGCTCAATGTGGCCAGGTGGGTGTGGCGGGGTGGGTGGGCCCAAATGGACAGGCCTACCCAGGAGGCACTAACAGCACTGGCTCCACAGGGGTGGTGTAGCGCTCTGCCTCAATGCCCAGGGCCGCAGAAATGGCGAGGCCCTCATCCGCTTTGTGGACAGCGAGCAGCGGGACTTAGCGCTGCAGAGACACAAGCACCACATGGGCGTCCGCTATATTGAGGTAGGGCTTTGGGCTGGGAGCGGAGCAGGGCCAATCTAAGCCAGGCCTGAGACCAATGGGCTGCTCTCTATGTACCCACAGGTGTATAAAGCGACAGGGGAGGAGTTCGTAAAGATCGCAGGGGGTGAGTGTACCCCAAACAGGGCCTGGCTCCCTGGTTCTTGATCCATATCCCACTTCCTACAACCCCTTGCCTGCCTGCTCCCCTGCATGGGTGAGTGTCTGGAGGAGCATGGGTGAAGTCAGCGGGTGACTCCCATGTCCCCCACACAGGCACATCACTAGAGGTGGCTCGTTTCTTGTCACGGGAAGACCAAGTGATCCTGCGGCTGCGGGGACTGCCCTTCTCGGCTGGGCCAACAGATGTGCTAGGCTTCCTGGGGCCAGAGTGCCCAGTGACTGGGGGTGCCGAAGGGCTGCTCTTTGTGCGCCACCCTGACGGCCGGCCGACTGGTGATGCCTTTGCTCTCTTTGCTTGTGAGGAGCTGGCACAGGCTGCACTGCGCAGGCACAAGGGCATGCTGGGTAAGCGATACATCGAACTCTTCCGGAGCACTGCAGCGGAGGTGCAGCAGGTGAGCACCCAGGGCTCCCCACCCAGATGTACTGTTACTCTAGGGCGGGTCTCTGTGCCCCTGCCCTACTTGGCATGACCAGCCTGTTGCTTTCTTTACTAGGTCCTGAACCGCTATGCATCTGGCCCACTCCTTCCCACACTGACTGCCCCACTGCTGCCCATCCCCTTCGCACTGGCAGCTGGGACCGGGAGGGATTGTGTTCGCCTCCGAGGCCTGCCCTACACAGCCACTATTGAAGACATCCTGAGTTTTCTCGGGGAGGCAGCAGCTGACATCCAGCCCCACGGTGTGCACATGGTGCTCAACCAGCAGGTAAGGCCACTGCTTATTGAGCAGTGGGGGAAACATAAATAGGAAGGAATGTGTGTGTTAGGGGTAAGGCACTCTTACACACGACAAACTGCTCACAAGATGGTATGCACAGGGCCGGCCATCGGGTGATGCCTTCATCCAGATGACATCAGCAGAGCGAGCCCTAGCTGCTGCTCAGCGTTGCCATAAGAAGGTGATGAAGGAGCGCTACGTGGAGGTGGTCCCCTGTTCCACAGAGGAGATGAGCCGTGTGCTGATGGGGGGCACCTTGGGCCGCAGTGGCATGTCCCCTCCGCCCTGCAAGCTGCCCTGTGAGTGCCCCAGGGGCTGGGGAAGGAGGCCTATGGGATCCAGGCTGTTGTAGGCCCCTACCTTCTTTAGCGGGGAATCCTTTCTAGCTGCCCCAGATATTTTGGGGCTGATAAGTCTACAGCAGGCTTGCTTTCTTTTTTAAAATGGAAGTTCTGGTACCTTCAATGTATGACTCCTGGGAGAATGAAGCATCCATCTGAGCCTCTGAGTAAAGATCCTAATGTTCTACCTCCCCCTGTCCCTCTCATGAGGAATAGAGAGGCAGAGAGAGCCAGCCCCAGGGTACTGCTGGGCTCCATACACGTGCACTTTCTACTTCTGTCTCTAGGCCTCTCACCACCTACCTACGCCACCTTCCAAGCCACCCCAACCCTCATTCCCACGGAGACAGCAGCTCTATACCCATCTTCAGCACTGCTCCCGGCTGCCAGGGTGCCTGCTGCCCCCACCCCTGTTGCCTACTACCCAGGTCCAGCCACTCAACTCTACCTGAACTACACAGCCTACTACCCAAGGTACCCTACAGCTAAGAGAACACCACAGTCCCGTTCCCTGTCCCAATCTGGGGAAAGGTCACAATCCCCTTTCTGGGCCAGATAACTTGAGATCACGAAAATAAGGTAGGAGGTGGCTGGTGCCATCTATAAAATAGATCTCTTTGATCTGTTTTATAGATGCCATCAGCCAGGTCCTGGGGCTTCAGGGAGAAGGAACTGAACTAAGCACAAGGCAGAAGCAAGGGAGGAGGGAAACAGGTCTCAGTCTAGTCCACAGATGGTATGCATGACTAAACCTTGACTCTCTCACCCTTAGCCCTCCAGTCTCCCCCACCACTGTGGGCTACCTCACCACACCCACTGCTGCCCTGGCCTCTGCTCCCACCTCAGTGTTATCCCAGCCAGGAGCCTTGGTCCGCATGCCGGGTATGCCATACACAGCTGGTATGAAGGATCTGCTCAGCGTCTTCCAGGCCTACCAGGTGAGACTGTGTGGCTGCAGGGCCTGGCGGGTCTAGCTGAGCTCTCTGCCCTAAATCGGTGTCCCTTCTGTAGCTAGCCCCTGATGAGTACACCAGTCTGATGCCTCTTGGGGACCCACCTCGCACTGTGTTGCAAACCTCCAAGGAATGGGTGTGTTTGTAGAAGAGGAAGCCAGGAGGTAAGAGCCAGCTGATATCCTCAGCAAACATGTCTCTCCTGCGTCCAGAAACCAGCGCCCTCAACCCGGTAGCTTCTTTCTGGCTTGTCAAAGCTCTCAGAAGGTACCTAGAGGAGCCCAAAGCCCCAGCTCGGTCCTCCACTTTTTCTTCTGCCTGTTTACCCTAAAGACAATGGCTGGACCATGCATGCAGGGCTGGGGGTGGAATGGGGTAACCAGCTCCTGATGGCCTGAGCCAGGCGTTCTGACTGGCACCTGGAGAGCCCTTTGGTCTGTCCTGGCTGTGGCCCATGATGACAGATATCGTGGGGCTGACAGGTCCACGGCAGGCTTGCTTTGTTTTTTAAAATAGAAGCTCTGGTACCTTCAAGTATGACTCTTGGGAGAATGAAGGGTCCATCTGAACCTCTGAGTAAAGATCCCAATGTTCTACCTCCCCCTGTCCCTCTCATGGGGGATGGGGAGGCAGAGAGAGCCAGCCCCTACCCTCAGGGTATCTGGACCTCAGAGACCATGTTGTGCCAGGGGTGGTCCCACCTAAAGATGCTAGCTCCTCTCTGGGTGAGCCTAAGGAGTAACAGATGGCAAAACCACAAACTATTTTGATGGACTGTACTGCAGTATCCCCAGAAGACATTAGGGGGCAGGAGGCCCCCACACAAAAACTCAGGCTTGATTTTTTAAAGGGGACTTTCTGCCAACTTTTCTTGTATGCTTTGGGAAAGCCAGTTGCCCTGAACCCAGCAGACACCATGGAATGTCCTTTGCATGCATTAAGTGGTACAGAACTAAAGCCTCAGAAGCAATTTGGAACTCTGTCTTCTCTTCCATAAAATGAAAAGTTACTGATCAAATGGACTTTTTAAAAGCCACAGGACCCTTCGCATTGCCCCCAGAGTGAGGGGCTCCACACCAGCCCCAGGCGGAGGAACACTCAGACAGATTTAAGAAGACTGTTGGCCTGTTACCATTTATTATTTCAGCACTAAAACTGAGGAGCCTGAACTGCTGGCTCTTCTTCCCTTTGCATTTGTGTAAGGAGCACTGTACTCCCATAAAAGGTTTTAAAATACAAAATGTACAAGAACACACAATTCCAAGTGCTGTAAACATAACTGAGAACCAGTTCCTTTACTAAACATCCATTTTATAAAATACAAGGTTTCAAATTGAACCCATCTGAGCCTTAAAGATCCATCCATTCTAAATACCAAAAACAGAGCTTCACGGCCAGTTCCAAAAGAGGTCTGTTGATAACAGCTGGCCCTGGGTGGGGGTAGTTTACACCTGGGCAGCAGCACCACACATGAACCCAAAGACATGCTCCTTTTAAAGCTGTTTTTAGCCATGTTTCTCTGTGCATCTCCAGTAAGCAGAAGGCTACTCATTTCATTCCTCAACCTGAGAGCTAGCACAGATTAGAGTAGGAAAGGGTGCGTGCTAGCACGTGCCCAGTTGCTCAGTGCTGCTATTAGAAATTGATTTGCATAGTCTAATGGATGTGTGCTTTAAAACCACTATGTTGCACAAAAATTTAAGTCTTTATCTACAAAGCCAAAAAATACTCTTACACCAAAGCTTTTACAAAGCTGATATAAAACTGCTTACATAGTATACAAAGCTCTATTTTAAAATTTAACGTTTATTTTAAATAGGAAAGCATTTCTAGTGCTACAGGCATCAAGGTATTTAGAAGGCATCAAAATTTGGTGCATAGCAACTCTGGATCATAGAGGCTTTTAATTCTTGAGGGCAGCAAAGCTTCCCCAAAGGGTATTGCAAGGGAAGCTCTTGCAATTACCCCATGTGAGGCAGCTACACCAGGGGGCAAAAGGGTAGAGGCAAGTCTGGCCATTTCTGTGGAACATCACCCAAGGGGCCAACTTCCTGCCCCTCCAAAGGAAGCTGTGGGCTTCCAACCACAGACCCAGAAGTAAATCTCACTATTGACATTCTGTGACATGACTCACTTTTCAAGAAAATTTGAAAATACCCAGCTCCAAGAGGGGCCACAGTGATCTGCTGAAGAATAGACCTTTTTCTCTAACTAGTTTTAGGGGAGAATCTAAAATATATTGTGTTTTTTTAAAAGACCATACTTCCTCATCCTGAGTCAACAGCTCCTACCCTACTGACAACAGGTGGTAGGCAATAGGCCAGCTCCCTTTCCCAGGCCTGAATTGGCCTCAGTAGAGAATCCTAGCATTAAGGGCCTGCAGTCTCCTGGAGTAACAGCATCAGGCCTTCAACCAGCATACTGTCTCACATATAGGCACTCAAAAAATCTGCTTCCTGGGCCAGGTGCGGTAGCTCACACCTGTAATCCCAGCACTTTGGGAGACCAAGGCGGGTGGATCACCTGAGGTCAGGAGTTCGAGACCAGCCTGGCAAATATGGTGAAAACCTGTCTCTACTAAAAATACAAAATTAGCCAGGCATGGTGGCATGCCCCTGTAGGCCCAGCTACTTGAAAGCCTGAGGCAGAAGAATTGCTTGAGCCTGGGAGCAGAGGTTGCAGTGAACTGAGATTGTGCCACTACACTCCAGCCTGGGTAACACAGTGAGACTGTTTCAAAAAAAAAAAAAAAATCTGCTTCCTGAATCAATGGAAGTATATAATTTCATTTGAAAACATACTGCAAACTTCAGAGCTCTGTAATGGGCCTAGGAACTGGTAAAAGATCCCATTGGGGAGAGGGGTAAAGGCAGGTTTTTTTTTTTTTTTTTTTTTTTTTTTTTGAGTACCCAACTTGGGCACCTCCTTTGGTAGATAGCAGGCTGGAGTTTCTGCTGGGCCCTGCCTTGGACATGAGTCTCACCAGCAGCAGCACCAGGGTGTCTTTGGTGTGGAGGGTCAGGTTATCACTTTTGGATGTGCTCAGAGCCTTCTGGGGAAAAGGCTGGTTTTAAGATCATACAGACAGGACAGGGTAGGCCAGAATCATTTCAGGCTATAAACAGAATGGCAGATAAGCCTTCCATACCAGTGTGACTCTTAAAACCTTCCCATCTGGAGTCTTGCATTTTCTCTGCCCATGCTGATGTACAGCTCATTTGTGCTTTAGCTCTGCACACAATCTGACCTCTACAGAAGAGTTAGAAATGCAAAGCTGCCTAAACCACTGGGAGACTGGCTTCAAAGGTCACAAACAGCCAAAGGCTCCTGTTTGGAAAAGGTTCTAGGACCAGAGGACACAAATAGGAAGAGCACTCCACAGCCTATTAGTTTTTATGATGGCAAGAAATGAAAGTGACCAAGCTAAAACCCCACCGTTTAGAGTCACCTTACATGTAGCCATCTTACCAAGGGTCCTGAGGGAAAAAGCAGTATGAACATGGAGCCAGTATGGAAAGACTGCAATAAGATTACCTAGAAAGTTACCAAAAGGCTATGCTCTGGAATGTCTTTTTATATTCCAACACTTCAATGATGGAATGGTCTCTTCTCATTTTATCTAACAACAGTTTAGTTTATAAAGAGGTATGAGCTATATTTGGCTTTGTTTCCTATAAATCTATGAAAGTCTTTAGGACACATGCTGACTTTGTGAGGCATAGGTGTAGGCTTGGGATAATGTGGTTTTTTTTTTTTCTTCCTTTTTTTTTTTGCTTCTGGATGGTCTTATCAAAAGTTCCCATTTTAAAAATTATCATAAAAACTAAAGGGCCCTTCAAATGACCATAAAGTGGTACAAATCACCAATCCTAGCTAAGTAACCAGGTCACCTGCAAAAGCAGCACCTCAGAAATAAAGAGCCTGCTGCATTCACACTCAAAGCACCCATCATATAAAAGTATCCTAGTTAAATATAAAAAGCAAAGCTCATTTCCCCAAAGCTCAAACAGCCTATGCTGCTCCTGTTCTTTTACAAAATCTAACCAAGGCGTGAGGTGGAAGAACACTGCTTTCCCCACAAATGGTGAGTCCCACTCCTGGTGCCAGACCTGAAGGCTGCAGAGTTGGAAACCCAAGGTCCAAGGAGAGAAACATGCTGAGAAGTTGGTGGTAGACACAAGGCTGCAGTGAGCACTGTTAGAGCCCGTCGGATCTTCCTAAATCCAGGGACTCAGAACTCCGGAGGGGAGCCTGCCTGCTCACTCCTGCTCCTTGGGAAACAGAAATCTGGGACATATCTCTCCCAATTATCTCGTTCACTGAAAAACAAGAAAAGGAAGAGTGATTAGTGACCTATGAGCGACTAGCCATATGATGCCCAATGCTGAGCTCTGCCTCGGATATTTCCCTTCCCCTGGCTTTCTGTAAAGATGAAAGCAGTGTCTGAAGCCCGCTCCCGAGCTGAGTGGCATTAGAGATGGAAACATCACTCCACAAGCTGCTCCGCACCTCTTTTTCTCTCCCTCTCATTCAGTTCATTGTGGGTTAGGAAGGGGGCTTACACTTCACTCTAAAGGTACTTTTAAATAAGTACTCACCTTACTCTAACTTTAATTGTATCTCTGTGGGAAAGTTTTTATTTTCTGCAATGCCACCTCCTATGTAAACTGAATGAAAATAAATGCTTTGGTTAGAATAAACCACTGTGATGTGGGGGCAACTACTCTTTATTATGTGGGGGCATTTCTACTGTTTGTGATCTTTTCTGATTTCAGGCTCTTGCTTTTCTGTTAATTTCTCTGATGTGCCAACCACCTCAGGGAGGCACAGTACTCTGTGAGGTCCAGAGCAAAGAATTTCCATCTTACAGAACTAACATAAAAGGAAACATCCCAAGTTCCCCAAATGAGAACCTTTAGTTCTCACATCATTTCATTCCTTGCCTTATCAACTAAAGGGTCTACACTAATTCCTCTCCTAGGCATATATACAAGAGAAGTGAAAACATATGTCCACATTAAAAACTTTCAAATGTTCACAGCAGCATTATTTATAATAGCCAAAAAGTGGAAAGAACCCAAATGTCTACCAAGTGATGAATGGATAAATGGTAAGTTGTCTTTATCCATAAAATGGAATATTCAGCCTTGAAATGTAACGAAATTCTGATATGTGCTAAAACATGGATGAGCTGTGAAAACAATCTGCTAAGTGAAAGAGGCCAGACACAAAAGGTGATGTATGATTCCATTTATATGAAATGTCCAGAACAGGCCAATTCACAGAGATAGAAAATAGATTACAGGTTATAGAGAGGGAGAAACAAGGAGTGATTACTAATGGATATGGAGTTTATTTTCAGAATAATGAAAATGGAGTTCTAAAATTAAATACTAATAGCCGTGCACAGTGGCTCACACCTGTCATCCTAGCACTTTGGGAGGCCGAGGTGGGCAGATCACTTGAGGTCAGGAGTTCAAAACCAGCTTGACCAACATGAAGAAACCCTGTCTCTACTAAAAATACAAAATTAGCCGGGTGTGATGGCGCATGCCTGTAATCCCAGCTACTTGGGAGGCTGAGGCAGAAGAATCGCCTGAACCCGGGAGGCAGAGGTTGCAGTGAGTCAAGATCATGCCACTGCACTCCAGCCTGGGCAACAAGAGCAAAACAACATCTCAAAAAGGAAAAAGAAAAATTAGATATTAGTGATAGTTGCAAAATTCTGACTATACTAAAAACAACTGAGTTGTATACTTTTAAGGATAAATTTTATGGTATGTGAATTACATCTTGTTATAGCTGTTATAAGCAAAAATAGACCAAACCAGTTTTTTATACTTAGGATTTGATGTGATCGTAGAGCAAAGGAACACAAACATTTAAAAAATCTTCCAAGTATTAACATCTAATCTTTTTCTAGTTTACATGGTTAAGAAAAACAAGTTTTCAAATTCATATGGCTATAAAGAGAAGGGTATTAATATTTACTAATTTAGTTGCTTGAACCCAGGAGGTAGAAGTTGCAGTAAGCCAAGATCACACCACTGCACTCTGAATGTGGGCAACAGAGGGAGGTTCCGTCTCAAAAAAAACCATATATATTTATATGAGTACTGATCATAGTATTGAATGTAGAATAGTAAAGAAGTAGGGACTAGAAGCCAAATACACACACACACACACATATTACTAATTTCACAAATATTTACTGAGCATTTATACTTTAGGCTTTACAAGTGAAATTAAATCTTATTTCAATTAATCTTCACAATACTTTAAATATTATTTTACTTTACAGATGAATTAACTGAGGCTCTGACAGGTCACATAATTGGTCTGAAGGTTACATGCTTAGTAAATAGTGGAATCAGCCTCAAAATACTAGTCACGTTCTTAGAAGCCAAAATGTAGAGATGCAAGGAAATGACTGAGATAAAGAAAATGCAAAGATGCTGGGCAAAATGTGGTGATACTAGTGGGAGGGAGAAAAGAAGTAGTGATTTACCACCACCAAGGTTTTGAGACTAGGAAAGAAAACGATGCAGTCGCAACAGGAAAGAAGCTCAGAAGGTGGTAGATTCAGTCTGGAATTAGAAATTAGAAACCCCAAATGGAAAAATCAGTGGACATGGTGGGGCTACAATGAATATTCAGAACAAGAAGATATTTAGGCATATTCATACTCACTAGAGACCTGGAAGCATGGGGGAAGTTTTATACAGAAGTTACTCCACTGAAGAGTAGAGGCTGAAAATAGTAAGTGGGAGTAGCACTGTGCTCTGATGAGAAGACAGGACCTGGGAAGGCAAATATGTGAGTAGAAGAGTGGCCTAAAAATTAGGTTTGGTCGGAATTCAGGGTCTGCCACTAACTTCATATTGTGTCATTGGACAAAGTATTTCATATATCTAAAATTCCCTTTATTTATACTATGACAATGTTGGATTAGTATGATGTCTTTTAGCTGTACTAGTCTATGGTTTTATGTCAGCAATTTTCAAGTGGTAGTACTCAAAGGTATACAAAGAAATAAAGCATGAAGATTTGGCTTGGCAGTGGTCAGTACTGAACACAGAATAATAAGTAGGGACTAGAAGCCAAAGGACTCTACAAAACAGTGAAGATTGATTAATCAATGCCAGCAAGCTAATAATCACTAAGTGATAAGCAACTTTTTTTTTTTTAATTAATCAATGAGAGCTTGTTACGTTGCTCAGGTTGGCCTTGAACTCAGCCTTGCCTCCTCAAGCGCCAGGACAACTGGCCGGAGCCACTGCGGCTCCCGACAAGCAACTTTTTAAGGTACAGCTTAATAAAGTACTTTGTCAGATGGTTGTTTTTTTTTTTTTTTTTTTTTTTGAGATGAAGTCTTGCTCTGTCACCCAGGCTAAAGTGCAGTGGTGCAATCTCGGCTCACTGCAACCTCCACCTCCCAGGTTCAAGTGATTCTCCTGCTTCAGCCTCCCGAGTAGCTGGGATTACAGGCCCCTGCCACCGTGCCCAGCTAATTTTTGTATTTTTAGTAGAGATAAGGTTTCATCATCTTGGCTAGGCTGGTCTCAAACTCCTGACCTTATGATCCACCCACCTCAGCCTCCCAAAGTGCTGGGATTACAGGTGTCAGCCACCATGCCCGGCCTTTTATTTATTTCTTTTTGAGACAGGGTCTCACTCTGTTGCCCATACTGGAGTTCAGAGGTACAATCGCAGTTCAAACTCAAACTCCTGGGCTCAAGCCATCCCAAGTATTCGGTTGGTGCAAAAGTAATTGTGGTTTTGGTATTACTTCTAATGTAAAGAACTGTGATTACTTCTGCGCCAACCTGACAGCTGGGACTACAGGCACATACCACCACACCTGGCTGATTTTTAATTTTTTTTGGTAGCGATAGGGTCTTGCTGTCTTGCCAAAGCTGATCTCTAACTCCTGGCCTCAAAGCAATCCTCCCACAGTGGATTGAACATTCCTATTCAAGAAATGTTCAAATTGGCAGTCCACTGGAATACTATTTATACACACAAGAATGAGGTGCTTGAGTACCAACAGGCCTCTTATTCAGAGCTATTTCTCATGCTTAAGAATTTAAAGTTAGAACTGACAGGTATATAGTATGGAACTTTACAACCAGGTAGACAGGGGTAGGGTAGCCCAAGGCGCTGCCTCTTTGAAGGAAGTAGACACACATTGTCACATATACAAAAGCCCAACAGGCCTTTCTAATTTGCAATTTTGTAAAGGATTTTTGAGTATTAGACCATTTACACGTTATTTCCTCTTGAAGCTACAATGAACATTCACCCATTCACTAAAGTTTGGTCACGTTCATCTTTTCTTTCTTTTCCTGAACCTGAAGATTAAAGGTATTCCTTCTCTGGGTAAATAATTTTATGAAGGTATTATTTTATTATTATTATTTTAGGAGAGAGCATCTTAGTCTGCCATCCTGGCTGACGTGCAGTGGTGTGATCACAGCTCACTATAGCCTTGAACTCCTGGGCTCAAGTGATCTTCCCGCTTCATTGCCCTGCCCCAAGTAGCTAGGACTACAGGCATGTGCCACCATGCCCAGCTAATTTATTTTTTGGGAGGATAGAGACAGGGTTTTATAATGTTGCCCAAGTTGGTCTCAAACTTCTGGCCTCAACTGATCCTCCCACCTCGGCCTCCTAAAGTGCTGGCTTTATAGGCATGAGTCACCGTGCCCAGCCGAGATGTTGTTTTTATAAAATAAAAGCAAAATCTTATTTTTAAAAAATGAAATTTACCTGTGTGCAATTGTTACAAAAGCACCATCTAAACTAAATATGGGAAATACTGAATTCATCTTTTTTTTTTTTTTTTTTTTTTTGAGAGGGTCTCGTTCTATTGCCCAGGCTGGAGTGCAGTGCACAATCTCAGCTCACTGCAACATGTAACCTGAGTAGCACCACACCTGGCTAATTTTTTCTTAAAGTTTTTGTATAGACAGGGTTTTGCTGTGTTGCTCAGGCTGGTCTCAAACTCCTGAACTCAAGTGATCTGTCTACCTTGGCCTTCCAAATTACTGGGATTACAGGCATGAGCCACTATGCCTGGCCGGAATTCACCTATATATGGCATGAGTAGAGGAATTAATTTGGATTTATCAAAATCTGATTAATTTGGCCAGGTGTGGTGGCTCACACCTGTAATCCCAACACTTTGGGAGGTTGAAGCAGGAAGATCACTTGAGCCCAGGAATTCCAGGTTGCAGTGAGCTATGATCACGCACCACTGCATTCTAGCCTAGGCAACAGTACAAGACCCTGTCTCCAAATAAAACCCAAATAAGAGAAAAATCAAGACACATTAATTTGCCTTTTCAAGCTAAAGACAGAAATAAGACCCTGAAAATTTAGAAGGTATCTATGGTAGCCTTCTAATTATCTTAATTCATTCTTCTGCAGTAATTGAGGTTTAGTTACTCTGACACCCAGCTACAGAGTATATTTCCTGGCTTCCCCATTGTAGCTAGGTATGGCCCATGTGATTCATTCTCTCCAATGAAATGTGAGCAAAAGTGATGTATGTGTCTTCCTCATCACTTGCTTGGCTTCTTTCTTCCTCCCCTTTTCCCATCCCTTCCTCGGGCTAAGACTCAGTCATGACTAAGTGGTTTCTAGCTTTGACAAAACCTAAGGAGAAAAACGAAGAACAAAATGAAAGGAATCTTGATCT